TGATGGAAAACCGGCGTGCACGGCTGGGCGCGTTTCCTGGAATCAATGGTAATTCAATCTGTGCACTGCCGTAAATACTGTCAGAAGTACAAAAGCCAGAGTAAACGTCCGAATTTATCACTACCAGAAAAGATCCGAGGGCAGTTGTAGTTGCATTGTGTCTACCGGTTATCAAAGTAGGTCATCACAGCAATTACATCTATGCGACGCGGAGGAGAAAACTAGCATTGTGGCAGAACGTTTATGTGCAATACACTACCCAGATAAAGTAAGAAAGTATGTAGACTGCTCGTAGACTTAGATTACCAAATGGCTGTAATAACCAGCGGGTACGGAAGTATTGTTTTGGGTGGCTGAGCTGTGAGTTTGATTATTTCGTGTCCGGACAGAGTATCAGCACCCAGCTAAAGTTAAAGTAAGAAATGTACAAGAAATGTACATGTATGTTTAGACTGCGAAATGGACGTAGTAACTAATGGGTACGGAAGTATTATTTTGGGTGGCTGAGCTGTGAGTTTGATTGTTTCGTGTGCGGGCAGAGTATCAGTACCCAGCTAAAGTTAAAGTAAGAAAATTACATGTAGATTTATGATACCCAATGGCTGTAGTAATTTGTGGGTACGGAAGTATTGTTTTGAGTGGCTGACTTGTGAGGTTGATTGTTTCGTTTCTGAACAGAGTATCATGAGAAGAATGACAAGCCACATGGCAGGAGGTCAAAAAGTCAGACAAAGGAATTCGAAGTTGACTTGAAGTTCACAAAATGTGGCCAGAAGCCAGCAGAAAATCCGATGTGGACGTATTCAGGAATTGCATGAGCCGACCCTCCAACCCGCACAGATTCTATTCCAGTCAAGATTAATTACGTCATAAAATCTCCTCAGTGGTTCTAATAAATTCAAGAAAAATCTTGCTAATGATTGTAATAAATCCTCCCCCCCCCCCCAATTTGTGATTTCTTGTTCATGTTTAACGTATTGTGACATCTTGTTCATGACAGAGAATTAGGAAAGGTACTGAAAGAGCGACGATATCATATCCGATTACACTTTACATCATTTTTGTAATGTAATAATTGTTTTGGTCGTTATCAGTATAACACAGACACTATCTGAGATAGTTTTGTAATTTGAGTATTATTATACTCATGTCCAAACAATTCATTTAATCAGCTATAATGGCCTCTATTGCTTTTTACCGACAGAACCACACAAATTGCTATAGAAAATATTGTGACAAGTCACCCCATAACTTCAAAGACGGATGTTTTCAGTTTGAGGCGTGTGGTTGAATTTCATGGCCCTATATTCCCCTGCTATTACACGGGTGCAATTTCTCAGCATGATTCTGCCATTAAATACAGAGCTTCAAATGGAAAACACAAATCTACGAGACCTACGTTTTTTATACGGCAGTTCCGAGTTCATATCTATATCTTGGGCTATTGCGCAAATAGGGTAATCTGTTTCTGTATTGTTCATTTGGCATAACCGCCTTTAGTTTATTCGTAGGAAGATATACAACGAGGTGGCGGCCTAGCCGGTGGCTATTGCCAACTGCTAGCCGGTCTAGCTGACTAGGCAATACAGGATGGAATTTACGTTGTGGTCCCTGGCTTTATGCTGAGTATCGTGTTTCGTCGTTTGTTCGCTCCAGCATTTGGTGGTTGAGTGTCGGGATACATTACCATATGAATAAAAACCAAGAAGATGTCAGGAGGGAAAGACTAAAGAAATGAAACAAATTGACGCAAATCTTAACCGCACGTAACGGGTTACTTCTTTCAGTTAGAGAGAGCTTATGGTAATTTAAAATTGTGCATTTAAGCCCAATCTTATTAGTATCAGTCGAATTCATGTCACCAAGGTGACCAATTATTTGAGTCACACATCTCCATCACACTCACACTACAGAACCAGCTATTTCCGTCTTAGCCCCCGGAAAGATTTCTAAATGAATATTTCTTGTTTGACGTATAGCCGCCCTTTGGTGTATTTTATTAATCTCCAAGCAGATCATACGATGGCCAGGCAGTATCCAATTCGCCAAGCAGTGTCCAGTGGTGGCTAATGGACGCTGGATGGTTAACGTACACTTCTTTGCGAATTGGATGGCTAATGGACTCTTCTTGGTGAATTGGATGGCAAATGGACACTGCTTACCTAATTGAATAACGCCTTGCCACCGTAGGATCTACTTGGAGATGGCATTTTCCAAGCTTTGAAGGCATTATAACGGCAGCAGCTTCCTATATTACACCGAACGGCTTATGTGATGCAATTTTGCGGTATGCCTAACTTGAATCGTTATTACCTTCGCCGAGGTTATTTTTTTCAGTAGTGTTTGTCTGTCTGTGTGTCTGCCTGTCTGTGAACAGCATAACTCAACATGCTTTAATGTAATTTGCATTGTCATGAAACTTTGGTGGGTAGGTCTTGATGAGACCTACATGTAGAAATGATTAGATTTTGGCCCCCTTGTGACTTTTGCTGGTCTTGTAGCTATTGTCTGTGAAGCAATTACAAGCGACTGGCATTTACAGACCATTGCACGAATGGAGCCTTGAACTTAAATTATTTGTGTGCATACGGGTGTGAGTGAGCTACATGAAAGGACAGACTTTAAGCCTTAATTCTATTCTGGCAACAAAATATAGTTTTACTCCATGAACCAGTACATGTGCTTATTAACCTCTCCGTTCTACCTAACAGGCAGAGTTCGATCCGTGGCCAGTTTTCCTGCGTCCTTCACATTATTGTACAGTCTATAAAATATTTACAATGTACCAGAAATTAGAGGCCTACAAAAGAGGCGAAAAAAAGAGTCAACATCTGGCGGTGGCTGGTTATATTACCTCGATCAGTCAGGCATAATTTATTTTATAATCTAAACACTTTGATGAACTGCCTTAGCCCTATTTGTTTGTTTATCTAATTATAGCTCAGTAACCCTAGGGTCGTTGCCTATATCTATATAAAACATCTAAAATACTGAAACTATCCATATTTTGCCTATTGTATACAGTAAGGCACATCTCCTCCCATAATGTACTTGAATCTATTTATAGGATGGGGTATTGATGTATTAATCACATGAATTGAAAGAACCCCTAACCTCCTGCAGCCAAGGAACGTCGACTTCTGCCACACCTTTGGCATGATGTCAAGATGTCCAGCCCCTCCAGCCGTTCTAACTGATGACGCCCGGAGTTGGAACATGTGTTGGGGCTGCTCCTGAGGGAGTCACGACAGGTGTTACAGAACGGCGGATCGATAAACTGGAAAAGAAACCATCGATCCAACGGAAATCAACTTCAACTTCCACGACCTCGGGACTGAGCGAGAAATGAAAATTAGGGCACGCTGCCATGTCTCTTGGTACCTTAACCTACCCGAATTCGACAGAAGTTTTTGGATGAGGTGGTGGAAAAAACAAAGTTAAAACCTGAATTTACTTCCCTTTTTCCAGTGAGTTTATTCATTTTTAAACGTTTATCTCAAGAAATATAACATACAAGACCTTGTGGGAAAGCCCCCTAAAATACTTAAGCGTGACAGATTACATAAAAAAGGTCGTCTCAAGCATTTTGTACATCTAGGAGACTAATGTATGACAGAAATGAGGTTTTTGTTCATCGATAACTCTTGGTAGAAATAGCGTATTTTGCATAAAGTAAACAGTGATTCAAGTATTTGTTCTTTTCCAGATTGTTGACTTTACCGTAACACTTTTCCAGTGAATTTATAGTGCAATGGCTAAAGTGGGATGGCCTAGCTGCATTCGGTACGTAGGTCGTGATCTCGATCCCAATCCGATGATAACGTTACATGCCGATTTGTCTACTTAACACTCAGAATTGGGAAAGAGTGTGGTAGTTAAACACAGTCACACAGCACTGTATGCCAGTGGACTAGCCGTTTGCTCTGGTGATTACGACTGTGTGGCTCAGGGGCCATTGAAGCGGAGATGGGCGCCACCATATGCACCACCAGGGTTTCAACTGGGTTTGTGTTTATATGCGGAGAGGCACACCTAGGCCTTCAGAAGGAACCCAGCACTCTTTTCGATAAGAGAAGTCCTACACGAGACAGATCGAATCGATTCTAATTTGGATCTTGAAAATGTGACGTCCCAGTTTTGTGATGGAATTTTCCCCAGTATTGACTCTATAAACACCCATCTCTTCCCATATCATCTCTCACTCGGTTGAAAATCTCGTAAATTCTCGTGAGATCGATACCCCATTTCTCTCTCCCCCTGCCGCGGGAAATGTAAAGGTGTCTGGAGCGGTTTTCTGTCCCGTACGTCACGCTGAGATTGACGTTTGGTGCATGTGGCTGTAATGTGTAAAAATCTGTTGTTTGTCATGGAATACCAACAAAAAAAATCGATGTTTTTCATTGATTACTTTCAAGTTTACCACACTATATTTGTTGGGGGTGGGGGGTATGTTAGATATAAGATAGAGGTCAGGGTCCGAATTACCTGGTTGCACAGTGGACCGCGCAACCATATATTGTTTCCCGGCAGAGATTGAATCTGTTATGCGAATGGCTTGCAGACTGGTGACCCTGTGATCAACTATGTAGATTGCATCCCTTTGTTTTAAAAAAAAGAAATACAATGTACTATTAGCAAGTAGAATCATAGCTAATTTTTAGAATGCAGAATTCTAGGAATTAAGGCTTTGGACCTGGGGCAACCTAGAACACTGATATTAGTGGTAAGCAGCCTACATGTAATTCATGTAAAAGTTGACAACCGGAGGAAAAGAAATATGCGAACCAGAGAGGTATTTGTCTTCCAACTTTATGTTTTACTACTATTTGAAGAGGAATCTGGAGCTACATTTTGATATTTTTGCCATTGCAATTTTGTATGAGTGATGACATGTGTTATACTGCAGCTGTTCATTTCTATACAGACCTACACTCTACCATGACACAGTCGAAAACCCTTCTTCTCGAAGGTCAAGTTCCGCCTGCATCGGTAGGTGGCGCTCGTGACCTTACGTTCGGCAATCCAAGATGGCGGCGTCCAGGACGATTTTATCGGGGTGCAGAAGATGTGTCCGCTCTTGGCTGGATTCCCGGAGATGTTCACCGTCCCTGTCCACCCGAGGCGTGCGGCTGTGTTCGTCTTCACCAGGTGAAGCAGATTCAGGTGAGTTATTCCGTCTTCTCTTACACCCACACACGTTAAATGTCTGACGTCTTGCGCCCCCCTCCCCATCATGTGTGCATGTTTTCAGCGTGAGAGAATGGGAAGCCAGAACAGCCTCAAAGTCGCAAAAAAATGGAGACTGCCGAAAAATTTAACAACTTGCAATTTGGCATTCTAAGAGTGCAGAGTAATGGCAGAGTACAGGCACAATGTTATTATGAAGTGAGTGAGTGAGTGAGTGAGTGAGTGAGTGTCACAATGTCATGTTGTCAAATTTGAAAAAACAAGTATTATTTTACATATACTGAGGCCTGTTTTATGATCTTTTGTTTGTCATTTGTACTTGTCTGTTACATCAAGCTTTAGGAGGTCAGAAGTAAAACTACATCAAATTTTGGTGACTATGTTTTTTTTCCAATGTTACTTGTCCACCCCAGACCCCTCCAAGCCCACCCCTCCTGACTTCTTTGACCCGGCGGTCCAGTCCATTCTGGTGCAGATCACGGGGGTGGACCTGGAGAAGGTGTTCCACCAGGTCAGGGCTAAAGTGGACCCTCCCACCTACAAACTCATGACAGAGGACCAGCTCAAGAAGGTTAGTTGTAACTTTTTTTAAAAACAGTACAGAACATTGCCAGGGATGTCAGCTACAGGGTTCCAGTAGTGATTGGCCACTTTATACCTTTACCTCAGTCTATATATATTGACTCATGGGAGACAGGAACTTATTAGGAATTTGTTATGGGATTTGGAGGGCAAGGCTTAGTCTCGGCAGCTTGCCAAAAAGACAGACAGATCTGACACTTACTGACTGACTGACTGAGTGACTGACTCACTGACTCACTGACTCACTGACTGACTGACTGACTGACTGACTGACTGACTGACTGACTCACTCCCTCACTCACTCACTCACTCACTCACTCACTCACTCACTGGCTGAACATAGTCCCAAAGAAATGTAGCTAGTAGTATATATGTAGTGTGCAAATTGGGGTGCACATGCACATGCATGATGCAAAATTGAGTGCTGTGGTTTGATGGGTATGAAAAAAAACATAACCACCTGTAAACCACCTTCACTTTGTCCAGGCGTTTGGTGAAACAGTCCAGCGAGCGAGCGAGAAGCTCCAGATGCCGCCTGTCCTGGGGGAAAGAGTGCCGATCGACCCCACACCAATAGCCAAGAACCCTGAACTGGAGGGACTGGACACCTCCAACTTTGTGTTCACAGACATTTCACAAAACATACCTGATAGGGTAAGTAGGAAACCCTGCACAAAATACTGTTATACACAAGAAACATTTACTCAAGCAACTGGACAGAATTTGAAAAATTGAGTTTACTGTTTTCTCGTGTATTTCATCACCTGGTTGTCTAATATTCATCAATGTAAAATTCTTGTAAAATACTTCAACTCTGTATTTATTTTTGTGATTTTGCACATACAAAATGCAAATTTGCCATGTACCCTCAGTGCTGTTATTCTTGTCTGTAGGACTGGAAGGGTTGCAAATCAGTATGGGCAAAGGGGTGAAGTCTGCCATCTCTGAAAAATTGCCTTGTTAGTTACTAGTACAATGTAGTTAAGTTCTTACTCTGGATTCAAACAGAATCCAAATCTTGCAATTTCTAAGCTATACATTTATGCTTCATATCAGAAGTGAATACACAATCATTGCTCTCCTGGAAGAAAACAGGATTTCTTGTGTAGTTTTTGAAAAGTCATGCATTAAAAGAGCTTACTCTATCCAAGAAAGACATTTAGGTTGTCATTATTGACTGTCTTATTTTCATATTTTCTACTGCTCTAACTGTAAGTTTTTTTTTTTCATTTTTCCAGGAAAGGTTTATTGTGGTTCGGGAGCAGGACGGTATTCTACGCCGTGCCACGTGGGAAGAGCGAGACAGACTGCTACAGGTGTACTTCCCAAAGGAAGGGCGCAGGATCCGACCTCCTCCACTGTTCCAGGAGGACCACATGGATGTGAGACATCTTCTTAAGCACACACAGACTTTATGGACAATGCAGTCCTAATGATAGAGTGTAAAAATGATTTGAACTTTCTTTCATATACAGGAGAATGTTGTAGAAATAATGCAGCATTATGCATTTATACAATGGAGGGATCAAAGTAACTCTCTAGAAACTCAAATTGGAGCTATGCACCATCCTGATTAGAGCTGTGTACCGGTACGCAGTACCGATACTGTACCGGAAAAATTGATTAGGTACAGGTCCAAAATACCTAATCCCTCAGTACCGGTACTGTACCTAAACAATTTCACACCAATTTTATGCCTATTTGTGACCTCAAATGTGTAAATAGCTGGTTAACAATGGGTCCCTGTGTAAGGACAATGTGTTCATGAAAACAAAAACATCTTTACTTTTACCTATATTTTATCTGAACATTCTCCATAAACAAAAATTAAACCTATATCAATGTTTTTCTTGTTATTACAGGAGTTCAGAAGAGCATATACATTGGTCGAATTGTTCAGGTACAGGTTCAGGTCCGGACCTGTACCTAAACCTGTGTACCTGTACCTGTACCTGTACCTAAAATTTGTTTAGGTACACAGCTCTAATCCTGATACTTGTGCCAGGTTACACACAGTAACTTTTGTACAGTAGTGTGCAGCCTACAATTACTATTGTTGATATTTACATGTAAGAAAAAATAATGTAACCTTTGTACTATTGCAGTGACTTGAGTAAGGTTTCTGACCAAGTTTCAATGATACTTTACTTTATTGCATATTGTGCACCCAAGACTTTTTCTGTGCTCCTAAATGTCTAGGTTAGGTGTAAGTCTGATTTTACCTTCTCTTCTCTCCAGATTGTCCTGGAGGCAGATCGCCATGTGGACCTGTTAGATCTTTGTTGTATCCAGTTTGAACCTGATTCTCCAGACTTCATCAGGGTAAACTTACTCTCTTTTACCCAGTCAAAGGCATGGTGCTAACTGTTTTGTCTACTTTGTCATGCTACAAGCCAACAAAGTGGCCTTTATGTACACTTGAAATCTTAAGGCACATTTTGTAACTGGTTTTATATGAAATCTTCTCTTACACTTCTTGGGTTGAAAATTTTCAATCTTCTTTGTGAGAAAACTTTTGAATAACTTCTGTTAATTTTTTTTCAAAACTTGATAATAACTACTGTTAACTTTTGAATAACTTCTGTTAATTTTTTTTCAAAACTTGATAATAACTACTGTTAACTTTTGAATAACTTCTGTTAATTTCCTGTGATCAGATAAATCACCACGTACAGTACGTGTAAAGTAATTTGCATACTTGTGACATAAGGTGTGAGTTAATTTGCATCTTCGTGACAGATCCACCAGCGTGTGTATGAAGATGTGTTCCATGAGAAGAAGTACAGACTGCTGCGGTCAACGCGACACTTCGGCGGGCTGACCTGGTACCTCACACGTAACAGGAAGGTCGATGACCTCCTTGTGGACATGCTACAGCTGGACCTGTGAGTTCTCGGCTTTTATCTGAATCAGAACTGTTCAAGGTTGTAACATACCTTTGATGACAAATGAACGGTCATCAAACTCCCCTGGCAAATTATTGTTTCTCAGCCCACCTTTTGTCTGGCAGACTTTGATTGTGCATTGTTTTTGCCTCTCTTTCCTGAAAATATATTCAAAGACAATTCAAACTCTACTACTGGATAAATAATGGAGATAACTTTCGGACGTTTCAGCTTCATTAAATGAATTGAGAGCACAAGTTGACACTAATCACATGTGAAGGAACATAAAACAGTTGAACATGACATGTGTCACTATTATTATAATTATGTAAATGAGTATAGGGTAGTTCCTATAGTAAGGCAATACCACATGAACTACTGGTACTTCTGAAAACATTTTGCCACTTTTGATGTAAATGTTTATGTCATCTGTAAGATGTTTATAATTTTTTTCCCTTTCCAGTGCTGATGATGCAGTCCAACTGGTGAGGTTATACTGCATGTTACATCCTGACAGCCAATCAGCTGCCCAGATTACACAGAACAACCTGCAGGGATTGGACATCGTCAAGGTATGTCTTTCTGCAGTTCTTAAGAGAGGATGGCATATGCATTCAGTTACTGTAGTACAAATAAGATTCATTGCAGCAAAACAAAGACTTTGTTGGTAACTCTTAACCATTCTAAGGTCAACTCAATTAGCAACATTAATGTGGTCTGTTCTGAAATTTGGTAATTTACCAAATTTCACTGTCGAGTTTGCTGTTGTTTTTGTAGGAACAGAAGTTGTTAACATTTGTCTTTCCCCTTCATCCATTTGCAGATGTTTGCCAAGTGTGATGCAGTAAAGGGAGGAGTTGTGGAGCTGGCAGTACAGGCCTACCAGGCAGGGCAGACAGGCACAGAACAGGCTGATACAAGCTGACATGCATGACTGCAGTTACCACAAGTTTCACACGGTGGCTGTCATGGGTAATACAGGCCTACCAGGCAGGGCAGACAGGCACAGAACAGGCTGATACAAGCTGAGACTGTCACAGAAAAGTGTCTCATCAGATCTACATGTGTAAAGTAAAGATAAACATTCTTATAGCAGTCATCTTGGCTCCAAGGAAACATGACTGTAGAAGAGACTCTAGTAGGCAAACATAGAAGACAAAGACAATAATGCCTTCCAGAACATTACTTTATTTCAACTACTAGTATAACATAGAAATGTTCCTGATGTTCATATAAAAGCAAGTCTGAAACCTGTACATAAAGTATGATAATAAATAGTGTATCCCTTTCCATATCTTGTGTCATTACTTCATACTGTAAAGCAGAAAGCTAGCTTATTTGCTGTAGTAAAGTTTATATTAAAGTATATTACACAGATGTACTTTCACAATTCTTTCAGCACTTTAGTGAGACTGCTTGGGACACTACATGTAGTACACTTAGCTTGATTTAAATGCACCAATCACTGTGCGGTATTATATTTGAACCAGCCAATCAGAAGTCTAGATCATCATCAGGATCTTCCTCATCAAAGTCGTCCACGTCATCAGGCTGGTAGAAAATCTGTCCACCTGGAGTCGCTGCCGGCTTGTCTGGAGCCTTTTTCCTGATGGAAAAAAAAACACAAAAGATATAACAAAAGAATATTTATAGATTGATCCTCAAAGAATTAGCATATGAATAATATAATATGTGCCTGAAAGAAATCAGTACAGTTACATGCACTTTGTAAAGAAAACTCACTGTAGACATCTAGCCAAGTTCTGACCCCTGCCCTATGACCTTACCTCTGATGGTGCATGTACGGCAGCACGACCCTGCTCCTGGCCTCTTTCTCTGTGTCAGTCAGTCGGAGGTTAAAGGTCAAGTTGGCAGTTGGGTCCACCTGGGACTGAAGTGCATGTACAGTTATCACTACTAATATACAGAATAGTTATTACTATAAAGGTAGGTTATTTTCAATATTTGGAATCTCTACATCTAGTAAGAGTCATTCTAGTCATGGCAGAAATCCACTTTTGTGAGGGTTTGTTACTCCTTCCAAGGAGGTTTTCATGCTTTCTGGCTGGTGTACAAGAAATGCAAAACATTACTATCCTCTGTTATCCCTTCCAAGGCCAACATCTGACGAGGCTAATTTTACAGAGAGCTGAATAAGGTGCCACTATAGATCGACCTTCAAGTTCAAGTGGACCCCAAAATGGCCACCTGTGCTCATTGCTAAGGCTGCCTATCAGTTCCTAGGGGGAGGGTCATTTGACTGAATATACCCTATATGATGGAATGGATGTTACCTCCTGATCTGGCTGTGCTGCAGGCCTGACTGGTGCCTTCTGTACCCGTGATGTCAGACTCCACTGGGCAGAGATATGATACTCCTCATCCTGAAGAAACAATAAAAATTGTCAAACATTGTCATATTTTTGTGAACCTACATTTGAACATTTAAACCTTTGAAAGATTTGAAAGACACCTTCTAAGCGTTCCAAATTCAAAAGAGGGCAATTACTATGATAGAGAGTGACAGACATTTAACTGTGAAGTTAATTCTTCCTCAGTGCAGCGTTCTGTCTAGTCTGTTTGGCTGATAATGCTGAGTGAGAGCTGACATCAATCAATCAATCAATCAAGCCGCAGGCATCAGAGTAGATGCATAGCGGCTGTAGCCATGTCCCTCCAGGATGTTAGATTAACAAAAATTGACACTTCCAATCTCTACTTCTTCTGTTAGGTCAGATAGTCCTCACTCAGATAGTGAAGCTTGTCTCAACCATTATGTTTCTAATTCAGGAAGAAGAGATGCTGTTCCAGTTAGCTATTTGCGGAGAGGATGTAGGACTTGGGAGCTAAAATAGGTTTGGTAACCAGGCTAGTTCCAGTAACATGGACTTAGTTCAGTGCCTAGAAGTGGTCTTGGCCTTGCACTGGGTAAAATCTTTACAAAAAGACAACTAATCAATATTATAAACTTGTGCGACCTAAAATCTATAACATCAGACTAAAAAAGAAGTTTGAAATCAATCAATCTAAGTCTAAAAATAACATCTATTCATCATCACCTGTCTTATAACCTTCCCAGACTTCCTCCTGTGTAAGACCTCACAGGTGCCATGGAAACAGGCCCTGTCCTGTGTGGGAGACTCCGCCCCCTCCCTGCTTCGCGTGGGAGACTCCGCCCCCTCCTGCAGCTGGACCCACGTGGTCGCCATGTGCCGCAGGGCAACGGCCGTGCTGTCGTCATGGAGATCTCCATGGAAACCAGCCACAACCAGTGCGATTTCTACTCCATCTGTGGAAAAGTAAAAGAATTTTATTGTTTCTTACAGGTTATATGCAACTAAACTGAGTAATTGTTATTGTAGCATTGAATACTAACATATGTACAGTCATAAAAATAGAATCTGATGTAGAAGTACACTTTAGGCATACATTAGGCAACATTAAACCAAAAGAAAGAAAAGAACATAGAGCACCTCAGTCCTCATTGAAAGTATTAAGTTCCACTTTTATGTTCATGTACTGAACTGACTCTAGCCTGGATTTCAGCAGCCTCTGGAGGGCCCTACCATGACAATCCTGGACAGTGCAGTACTCAAGGTACTGACCTGAATCTAACCTAGTCTCTCAGTAGCCTCTGGCAGGCCCTACAGATAACATAGCCTTTACAGTACAGTTTATTATACTGACCTGAATCTAGCCTGGCTCTCAGCAGCCTGTGGAGGGCCCTGCAGATGACATAGCCTGGACAGTGCAGCAGGTAGGGCGTCAGGGAGTCTATCACCACAGCTACTGGAGAAGTTTTGACAGACAACTTTTTCACATGCCCCAAGAAGTCTGGGGCTGAGGTTAAGTCTATTCTGTCTTCTGAAGAATCTCTGCAAAGTGCAAACAGAATAGCCTAGTGTAAGACTGGATTCCGGGCTACAAATAAAAATCATGCAATAGGAGTGGAGGTTCCCAAAAAAGTTGCAGTTTTAACTTTTAATAGGCCACACCAATAGGATGCCTAGACCTGTTTTAACTTTCTTTTTGCCCTGTCACTTCATATTTCTCTAAAAAATCAGAGAACCAACAAATTAAATTGGTGTGGCCTTAAGTGAAAATGGGCGGACTGGAAACACTAATTTTCCACCACATCTTTACCTCATAGCTCAATGACACCTTGTAACCTGCAGTTTTTATTAAAGGACACAATGAAGGTCAGACCAAGACTCATCTCACCTGTTCTGTTCCTCCCACAGTAGGGGGTCTGAGAAGCCGTCATGGAGGTGGATTCTGTAGGAAAGAAATTAAGCTAGTCACATTAAATAAAAAAAAATTAAAGAATGAAATAGCAATAATCTATTCTGGTTTTCTACACATGTATATTGTCATATTATCCATACAGTATTACTTCTTGACAAGCTAGGCCAACTCTACGTACCTGTGCTTCTCTTGCTTACTAGTACTGCCTTAGACCAAGGAGGTATTTAACATGCCTGTACTGTAGTCTCTACCAGACTAACTACGCTGGCTATATATAGGAGAATATTTGCCGGGGGAGTTTGGCCACCTTGGGGTTTGACTATGCTTCAGAGGGAATGAAACTACCTCCCAGCGGCCGGACTCCCTTGGCCAATTTAATTCTCTTTTTTGCCGAATTCTACGATCCGTATTCCCGTAGAAAGGCCTGGTGGAGGCTACCTGTACTGTACATTTGTACTACAATACATAGATATGCCTTAAATGGGCAGAGAATGTTTCTGGAATAAGGAATCGAATCAGCTGACTTATAACCTTACTTGGAGACGTTGGCACCTTCCAGGAAACAGTCTGCAGGTTTCTCCAGGTGGAACAGGTGCACAGACGCACACCTGCACAGACAGGTGGAAGAGATGACTTACAAAATACATCACCTCGTGTTGTACTGTATAATTCTATGTCCATGATGAGGATTACCATGAACTAGTACATCGTAGTGTAAGACCCCAAAGATACCCCCAAGTAGAATAGGACAGTCCAGTGACGTACATAGGTTACCCTTGAGAACCAGATAGAACTGGATGAGAACAACACATGTTTGAATACAGTTGCATCCAAATAAAGTCCTCTCTGTCTTCATTGCCAACCCTGGGAGTTTGGAATAGACCGTATGTAAATTACATGTATAATAATATGGACAAGACACTGTTAATTCTCACCTCTTAGCCAGTTCTGAACAGAAACAGTGGAAAACTGGTCTTCCGTCATGCTCCACACAGTCTGAAAACAAAACAAAATTCATGACAACATTCAGAATTTTTTAATAAAATATAAAAATACATTGTATTTTGTAACATGTAACATGAAACATCAGCATTGATCTACATTTTGCCATTTTCTCATTCTTCTTTTCTGTAGGTAATTTCGCAGTCTTACCTTCTATAACTACGAGAGATGACGTCTCTGTCCCTTCAAGAACTTGTTGCAACATACTTTCACTTTTAAAACGGTCTATTTCCTTGTTTTCAGCTCAATTCCTCTAAAAACCTGTCTAAGAATTTATCCACATGTCTCCTGACCTCTGACCTCTGAAAACCCGGAAGTAAGATCGCGCATGCGTGTTAGTAAGCTATCGCACTGCATGGTGGGAAGGGGTCAATTACGGTAAACAGTCGCGGCAGTAAAAAATCAGTCAAAATTTCATGTTGAGTTTTTCGCCCAAACCCGGATTCCAGCGGGGACGTAACGATCTGTCCCGGCGGCATGGCTCGCCCCGTGTCCCGCCACGGCGGCAGGAGGCAGTACGGCAGGTCACCGATGGCTCCTACGGGCAGCGAGGCGGGGGGAAACTTCATGTTCCCCGACTCGCCCTCCCCAAGTTACGGTGAGTCCGTCACGGTGGTTGGAACTGAAGTAGACTCGGGGAAAAGGGCTCGACTGTTGGAGTAGTCGTTAAGTGCCTTACAGTAGGGATTAAGTACATGCCAGGGTCTGTTTTACACTAGTCCTCTACGTAGCAATGTCAAGGCAACGTCTCCGGATCTACCAAGACTTCAAATCTTCTAGTTATAAACTCTCCCAAGATTTCCAGATTTTTCACGTCATAAAATTGCAAGAAAGGTTTGCTAGATGCTTGTTAATGTATGGAATTGAGTTCCTTGATGTCTGTGAAGACATAATATTGTTCGAAAACATAGAAAAGTCATGACCTTTGAAATTAATACGCCAACAGCTGAGTGGCTTCCATAGTTGCCATGGCAACATAATCCATATAGCACCCTCCCGTTTTTCTCTATCACAAATAACACAATATATGGGGGCAATAGATCACCAGGATAGGTATTGAACAGGGTTGTTGCAACATTCACTTAGTTGTGCAGTATACTAGTATGTACCAGGTTAAGCTTTTGGTATTTAAAAAAACAAATTGTAATATTTTATCTAAATGACTAAAGTTGAAATTCAACACAGATTTAATATCTATCAATGACATCCGAATGCACTCTATGACAATGTTGCGCATAACATCCACTCAGCGTTACTTTTACAACTTGGTACTGGAAAACTTCAATTTTGACCAGTTTGTTCAGAAACTAAGCCCAAGTGTTTGTGTGTTACTACATGTACATGTATGTTTTGTAACCTCCCAATTGCAAATAGAGAATTGTAGGCAAATGGCAACTTAAGCGTGCTTAAATTTGTCATTCACTGATGTTTGTATAATTGTTTGTCGTGTTTCCCAGGTGGTGAGTTTGTTCCCAGCCCCCCTCCCACGGAGCGCCCTGCCAGCCGGCGCAGAGGTCGGATCCACGACCCCGCCGACCCCACCGCCAGCCCCACCGCCACGCCTAACAACACCCCGGAGACCGGACACGTCCGTAAGATGCGCCCAAGGTCAGCTAAAGGTCGTCCGCGCCCGGGGTCAGCCAGAAGTCCCGACATGACGGGAAGTCCGATATCTGCCTCACCGCCGATGCACGGGTCGCCCGTTATGCGCCCGTCTTCAAGAGAGGATTCTGGGATAGACATCCTGGCTCTTAGTCCTCCAGCCAGACCAACCTCTGCCTTGTCAAGGTCAAACTTTGTTTTTGTTTTCTATTTGTATTTTGTTTTGAATGCTATACCAGTAAACATAATGTTGTCGTTAGTTGATGATCATAAACACATTTTTTTAGTAGTTACCTGAAGCGAAGGGAGAAGAACAACATTGCTTCATAACAGAAATATAAAATGATGAAGCTTTTTTTTCCTGAACGTTTTTTAACCTCCTTCCTGCTCCCAATATATTGACATTTTATAAGTGATCTTCAGCACTGAGCTACAAAATGTATTTCCCTTGTTTGAATATTGGATGGAGTTCTTTAAGATTTATATTATCTAAAGAAGCTACACTGGTTGCACATTGCACCCCATGGCCAGCTAACTCTCTAGTTGAACATGAGCTCAACTTCTTTTTCTACCCTCACAGATATCGAGTTCTCCCTTCCATCGGCCCCAGACCTGGGACAGCATCAGAAGACAGTGGGGTTGATGGCATCTCCCATGGCATGGATCACATGACTCTGACTAACCAATCAGGACACTCCACGGGAGAGCCACGGAAACGCCACAGGAAGCGGTCCACGGAAGAGGAGACGTACCCACAATCCTCCTCTTCCCAACGGACCAATCAGGGCTCAGAAGACTTGAGGAGAAAAAATAGACACGACGCCAGAATTCAAGACGAGACAAAAATGCATCACAGACCTACGAAAACACATCAAAGAGAGGAAGGAAGGATGCAGGATGGAGATGACAGAAGGCCACAAGATGAGCAACAAGATAAAGAAGCTGTACAGACTCCAAAACGGCCGGTAAGCGCCACGTGGCTCGCCAGAATCCCCGTCCCTCACGAACCGGGGGTGAACCAGGACAGGCTACTGCTCGCCCTCAAGCTCCCCGGAGGTCAGAGGTTACAGCGGCACTTCCACGCCACGGACACGCTGAGCGGGATCCTGGCGTACGCTCAGACTCAGACGGACCAGAAACTCGGAACGTGCGAGATCGCGGTCCAGGGGACGCCGCAGAGACTGTTTACGTCGTCCGACTTTAAAATGACGATCGCTGAGGCAGAAATTCATGAGAAAACACTCTTGTACATCCAGGCTGATGAGGAGGAAGAGGAGGATGATGGGTTGTAGTTGCCATGGCAACTCAGGCCAGAGCCGCCATTGGTTGATTCAGGAACCAGCTTACAATATTGAAGAATGTACATATGTTTTGATTGTAGATTCTGTATTACTTAAATGTGAATAGAAAAGATTTTATATGAGAGAAATTCTTCCTCTACACATTCCAGTTTCAATGTATGGTATCCTGTCTCTTTTGGGGGGCAAATTTCGAGTTTAAAAACATTGACAAGACTTTAAGAATACAGTCTTCCTACATGAAAAGCGGTCAGTCAAAGTGCCAAGTGCTGTCACTGAGCATGATTCTAAATTGACCTCTTACTTTCTAGTATGTTTTCTTTAAGGTTTTTGGGTAAAGGTAAAAATAATTCTGTTTCAGACTGGTGATATGTCACAGTTGTGAACTAATTTTTACTTTATGAACACCAGCACTTTTAGGCACTATTCCATAAAGACTAAGGTGTGTATAGTGAGCTGTACAGATTTTAAAATTCCACGGAAAGTACACTAAGTGTACAAATTATCACAGCAAAGACTTGTACATAATAAAATGTATCAATGGCTTTGTGGAAAAGTATAGATATACTTATTTATAGTTGCTATTATGCAAGTTTTCTCTTTAGCCAGAGTACAGAACTATGAATGCATTGTCACTAGAAATGCAATGCTTGGATTAAACTTCTTCCACAAGAATGGACCTTGCACTTCAAAAGTATGTTCCTTAAAACTCAGTTTCCTGACTAGTTTTCATTGCATTTGTTAAGTTTAACTGTATCACACACTCTCAGACACTACAAAGACAACTCAATAGCGACAATGTCAACTCCTTTATTTTATACTGAGGAGTGAGTCTTGCAAAACAGTTGTACAATCATGTGGTTTGGCTGCTTGTCCTTCATACATAAACATTTAGATTTACTTACAATCCATCAATAATACTGGCAACATCTACCGGCAACTTCCTTCACATTCTACAACTGACAACCATCATTACTTTATTCAGCAAGTTCTGGCTTTTGTTACACTTTCTACTTTGCCTAAGACAAAGTTCATATACAGCGACAGTTTTATACAACTTACATTGTAAGTTGCAGTTGGCCAGTCTTTTTTTACAATATGGTATTTTCTCTACCAGGCTTAACTTGTAAAGTTCAGTCATCCACCTCTGAATTTGAACACTCAGAAAAAAATGATGCCAACATTTCCTGTTTCTGCACTGACACATGTACAAGTACACACTAGTACTGGTATCTCTTTGTGTACCCCCTCTTTTCTTTGTCAATGGGTTAGCCCTAAAATTATTTGGAGAACGGCCACAAAGACGACCTTGAAAGTTTCCTAAAGAGCAAGAAGAAAGGAAGGTGCACATATTTCTCTTGTGGCTTTAAAATCAAACGTTTCTTTAAGTCCAGTACCCAATACCTTTAAAAAGTACAGGTTTGAACAATTGCAATGAATGGGTCACGTCATTACCTTACGGCATGGTGACATTGATTGCAATCTTTCATACAATTTCGATGTAGAACTTTTAGGCAAATTTTGACAGAAACTACCAAAAAGGACAGGTAACAGCCTTTTTCTATAAAAGGTCTTTTGAATGACACATGCACAACTGACCGAAGAAAGCTACAGATCAGTTGACAATCTTATGAATAACGTACAATGAATGAAACCAGGCTCTAATTCAGTAACAGTGCTTTGGCAAACTTAAATAATGAGTTGATCCTTTAACAGTGACTTCAGATTCTGGTTCATCAGTTAACCACCTTTCATACCTTTTACAAAAACATTCTAAGCATACATAAAATGAGATGAACTTAATTCCCTGTACCTTTCTTTTTTTTTTTACATGATGTATCAAAATTGAAAATATCAAACTGGTACAATTGTACATACTTGAGTGCTCTCCCTTTTAAATGGTAAATGTACCATACAGTAGCATCATCTTTGATTTCCTGAATTTAGAAAGTGTGGCTTGAAATTCAATATATTTCAACAGAAAAATTGACCGAACATAGTCAAAATATATACATAATATACAGGGACCAAAAGCAGCCAAACATTTACTGAAATCATAAATAATAAATCTACCAACATTCCTCACTACATTATCAAACCCACAACTTTGTTGTGGTGAACATGATGTGGCAACTATAGTATGAGCTACATTGATGCATTGATGCCTTCTACAACAACTATAGCAGTCTAGTTTTGTATACATCATTCTTAATGATTCGTTCATGTATATGTAGGTCCTTACTCTACAAAAATGCCACAATTATAATGCACTTACAGTTTGTAACATTATTTTGTTAAGAGAGCCATGGTTTGATCTGTTGAGGACCAGCATAGTTTAGTGTGAGATTATGAAGCACTATGGCCAGGCAAGATGTTTTATTCTTCTTCATCTATTGCAGTTAAAAGTTAAGCTGTATTGTGAATGCACTTGTATTCTAAATGCTTCAGCTTCAAAAGTTGTATCATTTCTTCAACACTGTTATTTTCTGTTGTCTATGTGTTTTTTAAGTGGGTAAAGAGCCTATTTCCAACCCCCAGTTCTTAACCCTTAACATGCTAAGTTTTTTTGCGCAGACATCTATTTGTTGCATGGTGACACCCCTTGGCTAGCTTAGGGTTAATGGCAAGACTGGACAGTAACATCATGAGTTTAGATGTTTGCTATCTTTTGAGGAGTCAAAGCTTAAGGCAGGCTTGATTTCTTACAGAAAGCTACAATCAACATCTTGTACCCCCCTCCCCCTTATATATACATACAAATGTACCTGTAAGGTAAAAAGCATCTTATAACTGGCCTGCTCGAATTGGTTCATTTTGTACTTCAACTTACATGTACATCATGTAGATTTAGTTTTGACTTGTCACCATTGAGAGCAAGTTGATTTTCATGTGCATTTAAGTTTTAAATTCATGATATTCTTAGCACAGGTTTGAGACCTATTGGGCAAACTGGCATTTGGTGAAATATTGTGTTACACAATTTTTGTAAGTCAGTCACAGCCTTCAAAAAGCCTAATTCCAGGCTACACATTCGAACTTTTAATGTCCTGAAGAGTGCTAGATACCCATGAAAATAAGACTTCTTGCAAGAAAACAGGCAGTAAGCTCGAACTAAACTTTAGATTTTGTCAAAGCTACCATTACTGGTATTAGATTATAATCCTGTCCCTGGTGCTGAAAACCTTGTGCTTTTAAAACCTTCCATAAGTCTTGTCTCATCATCTCCAATACTGCATTGTAAGGCGGCTCATGCCTTAGAATTGCACAGATTTGTTAGTCTTTGTATTATTCCCATGTTTTGCTATGGCAACCTCTGGGTGACATTTGTCAGATTTTTTAACAGCATGGCTGTTTGAAACCCAACTAGAACTTTTCCATCCAACAGTTGGCCACAGGGACCAGTCCATACTCCTGAAGAGGTGTAATCTTAGCTGGTATAAAAGATTAACATTAGTAAGTTGCAGCATAGGACAAAACGTCATTTTGGAGCTGAGGATTTTTAGCGGCGGTTCTTCTGTACAGACACAAGCCCCTCTCGACATTTTCTTCTCCTGATGTCATCTTCTAGAGGGGTCACCGGGAGGTCAACCTGAGAGGATAAACAAATAAACAAAAGTTATCACCAACAAAAATATATTTTTTCCAAGTGGTGGAAAACAGCCTTACTCTCTTGCATTTGCTCTAGTGCAGTTGTCATTTCTGTCAATTCATTTCATAGTTTGCTATTTGTCAGTTTGAAATTGAAGACTCTGCGCCTATTGGCCAGTCATGGGTACAGTTGGAATGTTGTGTTGTGATTGGCTGAAGGCTATTCAAATTTTTGAATGCTGAGCTGTGATTGGTTGGTACCTACTTGAAACAGTTCACTCCAGGCCTCCTGTAGCACGTGGATGAACTTGCGCTGCTCGTGGGTACAGTTGAAGTACAGAACCCACGGATCCTGCTCATCATCAAGTTCCTGCACAAAATAAAGAAACAATTCCTGCTTTTTAGTTTGCTGGCTTTCTAAGGAGGGCCAATCAGTTACATTTTCTGCCAATGCAAAGCATCATTATATTGGTCAGACACAAGTCTGAGGAAAACATATTTTCCCCCAAGCTTTTCCAACAGAACTAAGTGTACAATGTAGTAGTAGTTTATTTGTTTCCGGCCACAACAGAAAAGCCCTTTTAAAGCTGCTAGTTCTGATTAGTCCCTGATATATGTAGTATGCTGTTCTCTCTTTTCTATTCATTTTGTAGAGACAGACTTTGGCCACAAGCCTTACCATTAATACTACTGAACATACAAGAGAAAGAGAATGCCTTTTCCTGCAGTACTGACTGCATCTGCTAGGGGGCACTCACCACAATACAGTAGTAGTCGATCTCCTCATCCACACTGAGACCAGAGATGTCCTTCAGCCCGACACTTCCCAGGCTGCGGAAGAAACTCGTCTGACAATCCTCGTGGCAGGCAAACAGCTGCGAGAAACATTAGACACACGGCTGTCAATTTTTTTCTGACAAAAACAATTGTGTTTCTTGGCTTGTTCTGTTACTGTTTGATACTTGGTTGGCTGCTTGTTTGGCTAGTTGAATGAATATGTACAATCATGTAGCCTACAAAGCTGTTCCTGGTCCAGGAGTTTTCTTCTTTTTCCTCCATATCTTTCTCCTGGGCCACAAATTTAGTCAAAAACAATGTTTAACAAGAATCTTTAATCTCTATATCTAAGTTTAAACTCAAGGTACATGTAGGACCCTAGCAGATTCCTGTTCAACTACAGTTCTAAGCACTTCAATGATGTAAGGAGAGACAAGGGGAAACAATGCTGCTGTCTGAGCTAGGAAACTTTAAATTGATACTATAAATGAGTTTGTTTTTTCTAACAGTAACAAGACAAGAGGGCCTACACGTACTACTAGTATGTGTTCAGTACTGGTATTCACTTATCAATGAAGTTTGCAGACGTACCTTTAGACTGGTAAGGGCCAAGCAACAGGGAACAACAGACGAGGGTGGCTCTCCTTTCTCTGGTACCTGTCATGAAACAAACCGCTTAGACGATACAACATGATGCAAATTGCAGAGACAATTAAAAAAACAAGAGTTTAGAGATCTCATACCTCCTTGAGATATTACATGTAGAGCGTTTGTTATCATATGGTTTTAGAAACAAGGACAAAATATTTGTGAATTTCTGTTTTCCCTTTAACCCCTTTCACACAACACAGACAACTGCTGGCTCCACCCCAGAGGCGTTGCCAAAACACTGACCCCCTGTGACACGGCCTGACACAGCGCCTGCAGCCACTCCTGCACCTCCAGGTCAGAGGTCGCGGCCAGCTCCAGCGAGGCGCGGTCCGTCAGCAGGATCTCGAAGGAGTGGAGCTTCTCGCCAGCGTTGATCCTCCGACACCCGTTACAGTCAGGTCCTCTGTAACAGGACAAGGAGAAAACATCGAGACATGGCAATCAGTGATGGCAGACTTCAGACATTTAATACACATATTCTGACAGTACTACACAAAGTCTGCCCATATGATTCACTACTAGTACATTAGCACTAAGCCAAGTGTCATTGCCAAATTTCAACCAATACATGTAATTATGAAGTAACATGTGTACTTGGAATTTACACATTGTACCAATCCTTTAGAGGTTTCCCTTTTTTTCCTTCGTTCTATACATGTATGTGAGACCTTACATGTAGGGTTCACAAAAGAATGAAATTGGTCACAAAATTTCCTAAGTTTTTGCAAAAGTGAAAGAAATATACATTGAAGAAGGTTAGTCTAAGACTAATTACTTTATTACCAAAGGAACATGGATAGATTTTGAAAGACATTCAGAAAAAGAGAGAGAAAGAGAGGGAGAGAGAGAACCTACGTGAGTTGTATGGACATCTGTGGCACCACGTCAGATCTCTGGCCATACTGGTACAGCATTCCATTACTGCAGAAATAAAAAAAAACATGTTAGCACTTTAACCTTCATCACACTGATGTAGCCATTTGACTACCAAATTCTACTGGTTAGGCAACAGGGAGAAGGTTAAAAGAAAACTGCATGGTTGTAAACACATCTGCAAGAAGAAGCCAGGCTTCCATTTTCTGTCCTCTGTCTCTGTATATATACATCACACCAAACAACAGTACTTGTTACAAATTGTATACCTAGCCGGTACTCATCGATGATGATGATGATGATGATGATGATGCTCCGACTGTAAAACGTGCATTTTCAAAACATACAGTAAAAAAATCTGTATTAGTCTAATGACCTCCTCTACAATACACATGTGAATTATAGGCAGAAGTGTAAGGGACTATAAGAACTACCTGAGCAGGAAGAATCCAGATTTCCAAGTGGTCCCCCTCAGGTATCCTGTTGCTGCCTTGTACAGCAGGACTCCGTCCTTAGTGATGCCGTCTCGTAGTGAGGAGGGCTGGCCAGAGTCTGACGGTGTCAGGGCAAAGTCCTGAGGGTCCCACCAGTGCACCAACGTGTACAGCAACAGGTCAATATCTGATGTCTGAAAAAAAAGGTTTAAACAGTCATTTATTAGTGGGTAGCAAGGTGTGGTTAGGGTTGTTGACTTAGAATCTGAAGGTTCTTGGCTCAAATCCCTGGCAGGCCCTATTGTTGTATCCTAGGGAAAGGCACTTAAAGGACAAATTAAATAATTTCAGTTTTGGTGTCTTTCAACCCAAAATTCTATTTGCAAAAGGTGATCCATTGGTTTCTACCAGTCCCGCACACATAGCGAACATGGTAGAACATGGATTTGGGTCAAATATCACCCCCTATGTGTGCGGGACTGGCAGAAACCAATGGATCACCTTTTGGCTTGCAAATAGAATTTGCGGTTGAAAGTCACCAAAAGTGAAATTACTCTAATTTGTCCTTTAACACACATTCCTTCACTCAAATCAGGTGAAAATGAGTACCTAGCTTTGGCTAAAGATGTAAGGAATGTTAAGGTTGAAGGTCCCTAAGAATAAAATTAGCCTTCTGAATGCTAGTCAAGGTATGCATGCAATAGAGCTTTAACTAGTTCTATATTAGAACATTGTACATAGTCTCCATTGTACTAGACACATTTCTTACAGGGTTATTGTTAGCAAATGACTGGATAAAATTGATATCCTTCTCTCACATTGCACTTGGCCTCCTTGGCTGCCCATTTCCGGAGAGCAATTTTCTGCGTGGTGGCGTCAGTCAGGACCGCGGGAAACGGCTCAATACGGAACCCGGTACTCATCGCAGCATGGAGATGGGTCACAAACATTCTGTAAAATATGGGAGAAAAAAAACAACATATTTTCAACCCAAGGATCCTCCAGACTCGTGATCTCATTTGAGAGAGTGAGACAAAAAAAAACAGGTGTAAAAAACATGGAACCTAAAATTATGAAAGATCTACTTTGAATCGATGTTATGAGAATTAATTCAAGGTGGTACTCTTAACTATGGACCATCATGATAAGAAAATCAAAGATGACTATCATACATGATTGTAGATTAACATAGATCACTATTGCAGACACATGAATACGTGTAGTCCCCACCTTGTAAGTAGCTCGTCCCCTGTATCCACCCAGAACTGTTTCCTCCTGTTGGTACACACTATCTGTACATACTGGTGGTTCAGGGAGATCTGGGGATAAAAAAAATCATAAATACACTGTCAGTTACAATGTAGTATGCCAGCTCATCTGTGTTGATTGATCAAAATATTATAAGCTCTTTATAAAACTGTGATACACACATATATATATACATATATGATCATAGGAAAAGAATAAACGTACAGAGATGTAGTCCAGGTCATTGTGTCTGATGGCATCTTCACACTCAAACTGTTGGTCTCCTGAGCCTACAACAAAAACATTTTTATTAAAAAAACTACATAGTTACACAATGGCATACATTTATGGAAGTAGGCATAACAGTATGTATGTTTGCAAAATTCTAGTACAATTCATTTGCACACAAGTAACATCTATATTAACAATGTACTAGTTATACGTGGTTACAAAAAATTTTAAGGTTAGTGATAGAGGGACCAGTAAAGACACAAAATGAAGAAGAGTAACTAAAGATCTTGAAGAAACGTACCTTTCCTAAGAAGGTACATGCAGAAGTCGGTGATTAAGACGTAGACACTGTGCAGGTCTCCCTCCATGTGACCCGTGGACATACGGAACATCTGCAAGGTCAAAGTGCAGAGGTCAAATCTTTCATAAATACAGTCACAAATTTCAGGAAGGAAGAATGAATGAATGAACATTCAAATGAATGTATGTTAATCTCTATTTGGGTTTAATTCAGTAGTTAGCCATGCAATTCTAGACCCAATAAGATCTAGACGTGTATTAGTATTAGCCTGAGTGTCAGACGTATAGTATATATTATGTACATAGAAAAACTAAAGAAAACGGACCTTAGAGAACTGCTCTCCTTCCTCCTTGAAGACCTCTAACATCAGGAACAGAAGAGTGTTGTTGTCCACTCTGAAGGGAGAAAATCTAGTTCAACGCTTTTATATTTTACACAACAACAGTTACTATAAAACAGTATGTGAGTGGGCCACACTCTAGTGTACATACAGTCATTCCTTAGCCTTAGGGATACAAACTCTTTGAAGGTACAGACTTATTGAAATAATTGTCTACTTTGTGTTCAGATGTCATCTAAAATAATATAGACTATTCCAAATTCAGTAAAGATCTCAAAAATCCCACTGACTTGACATCAGCATCGTGAGAGTCCGGTGTTGTCCTCTTCATCACCAGGTTCTCCTCCTCCTCTTTTTCCGTGTCTCCATTCTTCTCCTCCCAGTCTCTTTCCTTCTGTCCATCCCTCTGGTCTGCCCCCCTCCCCCTGCGAGGACTGTCCCGATCAAACGGGTTTAGTCGCGCCGGGCGCTGCGGGCGAGGTGACCCCTGACTGCCCCGCGGACTGCTGTCCTTCCCCAGACCAGTTCTGTACTCCATGTTGTCACTGCCGGAGTAACTCCCCGCGTCGCTCTGGTACGAGCTTCCCAGCGTCACCGAATCATCGTCTTCCTCATCATCGTACTGCTGCCGGCGCAGTCTCTCCGCTTCCGCGATCTCCTCGCTGAGAGGGACTTCGTTCGGGAGTGAGGAGAAGACGGGGCTGTGGGAGAAGTTTCCCTGGAGATCTACGTCGTCGTCTTCGATGTTGTTTTCTTCGTTCCCAGTTGCCATGACGGCCGGAGGTGGGTTGGGCGGTGGGAGACCGTACGTGTGCGCGTGGCACGTCTGGTCCGTGCAGTTGGTAGGGTTCGAGTTCAGGTCTTCGTTGTTGTTCGTCAGCAGAAGCTCGAGATCGTTCACGAAGCCAGCTGCCTGTGCTTGTACGTTTTGCTGAGGGGGGTGTCCCCCCTGTGCACCCCCTTCTGTACCCCCCCTGCTCTCTCCCTGCCCCCCTTGGTTTGAACCCTGACCTGCAGGGCCTGTAACCTCTCTTGACACTTCATTCGTTCCTGTACTCTGTTCTGTAGCTTCCATTTTCGCACTACTACGATTTTCCTCTAGTCCTTCATTTCTTCCCTCGTTGTTTGATACAGATTGCCCCTCCCCCGTGTTCTGTACATCTATCCCACTGCTGCTACTCGCTCGACTCGACTCCTCCGAAGCTGTCGGGCTCGGAGTCGCGTCCTGTTGCTTAGCAACAGCCTTCTTCTTCTTCCCACCCTTCTTGGTTTTCTTACGAATAACCTCCAGACCGCCCGAGTCCGATGACGCTTTCGGAGTCGCCCCGGGGTCCGAGATTCGCGAAATTCTAAAGGTTCGCTCCAGCGTTTCTGGCCTCTGCGCTTTCTCTGGCGTTTTTTCTTTTCTGGTCGGTCCGTTGGGAAGTGCGCCCTCGACAGAGGCACCCGGCGCGACGTACTCTATGTCAACGAACTCGGATCGTACGCAGATGGCGCTGTCGGAGCCCGGGGTGGTGAACTCCGACCCCGTGGTGAACCCTGACCCCGTGGTGTAACTGCTGGCGCTGGAGGCGGTGGAGACGGCGTCCAGACTCTGCTGGGAAATCCGATCATCGTCGTACTCGCTGTACCGCTCGTCTCGACTCAGGGGCAGCGAGCTGGTCAGGTCCAGGTACGGAACATCCTTGGGGGGAAGAGGGTTAACTGTTTATTAGACTTTGGATATCAGATCAATGGCAAAGCAAAATATAAAAGGGCCAAACAAAGTTGATTCTGTCAATAAAACCAGCAATGCACATTGGTGTTCTGTGTAAGTTTGAAGTTTGTAATTAGAATATAGTCTGTATAGATAACAATCCCTAAAGAAAGAAATCTTAAAATTATTGAGAGAACACTTTGATGCAAAACTTAGGGTTTGCACTGAAATTATTACTGTAGAACAACATATTGTACAAATCATTGTAGTACAACTTAAGTCTCTGTGCAGGAATGAATCCATTGCCTCTTTTATTCATGCAGCAATGTTTGCCACCAAGGAATATCCATATTAAGGCATTGCTGTTGTGGGGACAGAGCAGCATGTCGGCAGAACGTACTGCGCCTGTGCAGAACCCCGTATTTTCGCATTTTTCGTTGGGTTTTTGGTCAACGTTGCATCAGAATTTTGCCTGTTGCAGATGATATTCTTTCCTACATAACATTTGGAAACTACTGTCGAAATGCTAACCTTATATGAGCGAATGCAACCTTATATGAGACATTCTGCCAAAATACTATGTACAATACATTACAGGTTTCGCGCAGGTGCAGTACGTTCTGCCGACGTGCTGGATAGAGCTACTCACCACATCCAGCTCAAACTTGAGGTACTCCAGTCCTGAGGCCAGTGTAGTCATCACTAGCAGTCTCTGTGGACGGGAGGTTGTTATGATTTTTATTACTGTTATAAAATAAATTATATATAAAGATAATAAAACAAAAAAGAGGTCCTTAATCAGTCAAAGATATTCTAAAAAATATTTTTAAAATTGTTTAAACCAATTTTTATTTATAATTCATATACAAATTTTAAACCAATTTTTATTTATAATTCATATACAGAGTCCTTCTTACCTGTTCATCCCTCAGTAGGGCATGTCTGGAACAAGAGAAAAATAAAACTTTCATACTTCATTAATTTCCATATTCATATTCATTTTCATTTTCATATGAGTAGCAATATATATTTCATAAAATATGGGAAAAAACAATGTTTTTAAATTCATTTCACCAAACATTATTGCATTACAATGATGCATAATATAATATGACATTAATGTATCAAGAAGATTGTTTTATGTGCGATGACTTTTATTATCTGACGGGTATACTTAGGTAAGAAAGAAATCAATGCTAATTTAGTTAAGAATATGTAGATAATAGACTTAAATAAAAAAAAACAACTGGCAACTGAATGATCAAATAGAATAACAATCCTTTTATATATGTAAAAGTTATGTCAGACATAACTTTTATCTGTTTGTTTGTTTGCTTGTTTGTTTGTGACTGACCTGAGTTGTAGTATTTGCTTGTTTGTTTGTGACTGACCTGAGTTGTAGTATTTGCTTGTTTGTTTGTTTGTTTGTTTCTTTGTGACTGACCTGATGTAGTATTTGCTTGTTTGTTTGTTTGTTTGTTTGTTTGTGACTGACCTGACGTAGTATTTCCTGACCAGTTGGGAGTTTTCCTGGAAGACTCGCAGGTAACTCTCCAGGGCGTTCTCATTCAGTGCCAGGTACAGCCAGGCCCGGCCTGAGTACACAGAGGCATCAGAAAGTACAGTATGAGCTTTCATCAGTGTGAAAATCGGTCCAATAGGAGCTCAGGATTCTCTGTCACTATGGAAACCAGTCATCAGTATCATCATAGCCTACAGCACTATATGGTAACAGAGAGTTTTCAGTCTGACAATTATTTGTCCATATCAGCATGTTTATACAATCATATTATATCAACAGGATTAAGATGTTCCCATTTCTTTTAACTTTCAAGCTGTAGGGACCTGACCAGTGGAAGGGCTGCTAGAAGCGTGATGTAGTCAGGCTAGGGGCCTGACCAGTGGAAGGGCTGCTAGAAGCGTGATGTAGTCAGGCTAGGGGTCTGACCTGTGGAAGGGCTGCTAGAAGTGTGATGTAGTCAGGCTAGGGGCCTGACCTGTGGAAGGGCTGCTAGTAGTAGAAGCTGGTTTCTCACCTCTCAAATAAAAGTACCCCCTGGGATAAAAGTACCCCCCAAAAAATCTTTAAAATCCAATAAAAGTACCCCTTGGAATAAAAGTACCCCCTCAAAAAAACGTACTAAAAAGAGAATATAATGTACCAGGCAGATTTTAAGGTGAGAATATAGACCTTTCCCTGCCTCCTATTTTGATTTGATCCTCCAGTTCAGTAAAATCAAAAAACTACAAAAACATCAGATACCCTACCTCTGCCCAGGTCAGTGGTGACGTTGCCCATCCCCAGGATCTGTTTGATGGCATCCTTCCGTGTGAAGTGTGGAACAACCACCCAGTAACCCTTCGTCACGTTACGCAACCTGCAGTAACATGTATCATCAACATATCATCATCATGCACCATGCAGACAAATTTCACCTGTATCACTCAGAAATTATGACATGTGGATCACACTAAAAATTGTTCAGACATCATTGCTGTCATATATGTATGTCATGTATTTTAAGAGTAAATGAAACTAATGAAAATCCAAATACACCTACATTTATATATAAACCCAGTACATGGACCAGTGAAGGCTACATGTTGGTGCAGGTAGACATCAGAAATACCCGCACAGCTCCAAGTTTACATGTACATATACTGCACTAATTTCTGCATATGTTTTTAAAGCTTTGAGGGAAGAAAGCACATTTATCTTCTCATTCACAAGATACACAGTATAATTTTTCATTAAAGTTAAGTGTGATGGTTTAAAATATCCTCATCGGTTTACTACTAATTGTGATCACAGTCTGTTTGCTGATTGGTCAATCTCACCCATGCAGGAAGGCGTGGTCCAGGTGCTCACATAGGGCCTGGATCTCTCTGTCCTGATTGGTCAGTGGAGAGGCAGTTTCAGGGTCCCCCTTACAGGCTTGAAGGTCTTGGATCTGGAAAGCAATAATAACATTCATTTAGACACTGTATCATCGATCATAATTATCTTTATAGTTTATACATAAAGAATCTAAAAAGGATAACACTTCATATTTCATAACTGGGCAACTGTTGGATAATTTGAATGTTTTTTTTTTTTCAAAATTCAAATCATTTGTACAGATACTGACATTCCTTGACTGTCAATGCAGTATACATTTGTACATGACTTAGTTACAATATTATCTGACTATTAGTGAAGGGCATCAAACAACAACCAAAATATACCGGTAAAATTTATCAGTTGTAAAAAATTACAATAATTATGAATAATCCAACCATTAATACTGGAAAGAAATAAAACCTCTTGTCAGGTTATCTACCTAATTGCCAGAGGCAATATAAAGCACTTCCCCCTAGCTACAAAATGGACCATTCCAAGCCCCCAGTCCTTCCACAGACTCAGACTAATTAGGACAAGAGTTATACATATTACCCTGCTCTCTGTCTGACATACTTGTATGCTGTGTGAGACTAGACTGCTGAATCAAATGGCTGCATCGTTAAGATATAATATAATGTGATTTTAACAATAAAATTCATGTAATAAATGGCTTATGCCCTGTTGCACTTGTCATATGAATGGTGACATATGACCTACTGATAACCTGCATCTGTACACAGTACCTGCACAGCCATCAAATTGAATAAACCACCGAGTAAGTGAAGTGATATGAATCTAAAGTCAGAATACTAGTATCTGATGGGGGATATCCAGTTTAGATCACAAAATATAGGCAGTGCACTCAGACATGTACTAGTACTAGTACAGCCTCTGTCTTCCTGCATTACGAAACCAGTCCATCGTAAAATGGTTCTGGCAACTGGCCATATACGTATGTATTTCTTTAACATATATCAGGATGGATCTTGCCTCTCATTTTCAGCATGTCTACTTAAATAACCTGTGTGTGTGAGTCGGCTCTCTTTTTCCCCATGGCAAAATATGTACGTTTATTGTACAACATTTGGAAACTTAAATAGTACATTTTCTATGCCAAAATGACGGACTCGACATCACTCAGCAATTGACTAATAATAAATAAATACTTTTTATGGGCACTGATGAGTCCTCCTCGTTAGTCTGGCACAAAAATGAGTTTACATAATTACAGGTAAGAATTGTGATTTGTATTTCCTGAGTCATTAATTATCTGGTACATAGTTTCATCATATTCAGATCGCTCATTGGTAAATGAACAGTAGTTGTAGTCCACCAGGCTAAGCAGAAGCAATGTCACGGAATAATGATGAAGCTGTGTGTACGTGATACTTTTACCTGAACCCTCAGGTCAATGCTGCACTACTGTAAATCACTTTATGTTCACACTGGCAAGAGTTTGCAGTCTGAGAAAAATGGGCAATTTTTTGTCACATGTTCGCAGAATTATTACATTTGCAGTGGCTGCAAGTGCAGCAAAAAGAAAGTCAGCAAATCAAGTACCAAAAAAAGTCACAATTTACAGTATCCAGCTTGATTGCTCTTGACATGGACAATGATTTTATCTAATAAGTATCTAGAAATAAAACTGCAAGCTTAAATACAAGTGCTACTAGTATACATACTAACTTAGTAAGTAACAAGTAATATATCATAATGCTTTTACTAGTAGCCATATCAGAGTGACCAAAATAATAATGACAAAATTTTGGCATGTTCCATATTCATGATGTTGACAGCCTCTTATTTCTAACTAAGGACTTGAAAGAAGTCTGTGACTAGTCGAATATCTCTGACAAATTCTTTACGGGTAATCCATTTTCTGCATCTATCTTACAATCAGTCACACACAATTAATACTCAATGTTGTCATGCCATGGCCAGCAGGTATAGGGTTACAAAATGATCACCATGGTCTAGAGATGCTACCTACATGTAAAGTTACGTGTTCATGTATTCATAATTTGTGACATTGCTCCAGCGTTGGATGCCCTTCACACATTTACATGTAGTACAATATTTAATACTTTTATTAATAAAAACATTATATTTTATGCAGCCTGCAGCTGGCTATAGATTACATGTACAAAAGTATATAGTCGGCTAGCCTGGATGACAGACTGTTTCCAGGGCCTACATACATGTAGTCGAAGCTTCTTGGATCCAAAGCTATGTCTTGCAACGTAAACAACGTCTCTCTCCCATAAACAACTTTCTTGCTATCGACCATCTTCCTTCCGCATTCCTACACACACAGGCACTGCTGACAACTCTACATCACATTCCCTTCCCCATTTCCTGCTGCGGTGCACGGTTCCCCGTCCGTCCATCCTAGTTCTGCCGTTCCGCCATTTGTGATCTCATCCCAAAATCACTAACATGACAGCTGATAGCTATGATCTTCGGTCGGAAGCAGGATCCACAACGCAACAAAAAAACGCCCCTAAAATCGTCTCAAAACCACAGAGCGCTACTTACCCCCTTCACAGCTCGAGCGATGTTGTCCAGGATGCGGTCTTTCAGCTTCAGGCGCTCCATGGTCGCCGTTTTCTCGCAAGAATCGGAGAAATTCAGCGCAGATGAAAAATTTCCCGACTCAGGTCGGCCATGATGATAGAGGGAATTGTGGGTCATGCATGCGTGATCGACCGATCACGAGCGACACCTAGCGGAAGGTTGTAAAATTGATTATAAGTAACTTCCAAATACTAGTAGTAATTGGACACCCCAGTGCAGAATGTGGTGTGTGATCGCCTGTTATGATCAACAGTATGACAGTAGGATTTAGATATTATTTGTGGGACTAATGGGCTTAAATACTACATAGCCTGTATTGTGTATCCTCCATGCAGATTCTGTAGGGCAATTGCAAGAGGAGTATATGTATGTTTGCTTCGAAAACGAAGCCAAGCCAAGATATGCTATATAGTAATATACATGTATGTATGTTGGCCGCATCTCATGATCCACTCGTCTCCTGTAAGCATTGGCCGCCTCCACTTCTCTCGCTATTTTGTTGTCAACACTTGGCTAGGAATTGAAAACGTAATTACAATCTGCTCTGCATACGTTTTCTTTAGAACAAAGGTTTGGAACGGGATATTAAACCGCTTTGATTTGTCCGATTCTCGAGAAAAATTTCATACAACGATTGCTTTCTACATATCATAGTAGTGATTGCCCAGAGATGTTTCCTGTAGCTATAAAAAAATTCATGAAATCCTCAGAAAAACAAAATGGTATTTAGGTCGCAAAGTGCAATAATGTACTCAAACCATGTTAATATGAATGTACGTACGCAAACCACGTCTGAACGGACTCACTCACCTTACTCTCCAAGCAGAGGTGAGAGGGAGAGAACGTAGGATATTCCGACATGGCTAGCTAAGGGAGGCACATTTCCCTCTCACCTCTGCCTTTTTTACTCACCTCACCTATCTAGACTGGGCTTTTTTGGGACTGGGGGGAGGGGCTCATTCGCCTCCCCCTCAGAACTCGAGAACCGGTATATCATAATGTAGGGGTCACAAGAACAATCTATTCTTAAAGAGGGGAGGCATTTTTATTAGGTATTGGACAGGTCTGTGTGTGTGGGAGGAGGACAGGTCCATTTCTGCGATGTGGTGAAGCCATTCGCTGATTTGCTCCCGAGCAAATGTCGGCCTTTCTAGTTCTTGATTCAGGTTTTTGTGCTCCCATTGTGGCAGCTAGCTAGGCTTTCGTCATGTTTAACCTTATAATCTATATAAACATTGACTACTAAGTAGCTAAAGCAATGTATATTTTTGTACTGTGGCACCTACGTTTAAATTTGTCTGTGTAATAACCAATGTAATAACCGTTCTAATCTGAGCATAGACACACCAGTGATATGAAAACAAGACCGGTTGTATGATGTCTGTTTGTTTGTTTGTTTGTTTGTTTGGCCAGACAAAGCATGTCGCACATTTCCAAACGGTACAGTCAGATTGATATTAGAAACTGGTTGTACCAGTCAGTCCAGTAATGTTGTATCTGTGTCAATATTTGTTTTGAGCTCCATAGAAACGCTGTGTGTCGGGAAAACTCATTTGTATCAAGAATGTTACATTTTATTAGAAAGTAGAAATGGATACAGGATCAAACGGTTACTGGCAACGATATATAGTTCTTAATGCAGTTTGAGAAACGTGCCTTCATCTGGAAGACAGTACTATTTGCTCTGTATATTTACGCAAAAGTGATATTTTGTAGTTTTATTTTAACACTTATATCTGTTAATAAAAACATAGTATTTATACCACCACTGTTCATATACATTTGGTCACTTTCTTTAAACTCATTATTACGTATTCGACTAAAAATATGATTACATATAAGTGCTTTGGAATAATATGTATAATGGACTTACAGTTTAGAATATAACAATGCTATACAACAACGTCAACATGTAACGTTTTGAATGACGTTGTGGTTCCTGGTTACAACCCTTTCCACTACAGGCTGCGACCGCTGAGCGATCGACTTTTCAAGATTGCTCAAAGCATTTTTTTAGACAGGAAGCACTTTTCGTGTGTTGTGTTGTGTTGTCTTCAAAATCGTGCTTTTGCTTCGTGCATCATATCTAATTATAACATCAAGGGTCACAAAAATTTAATTTTGGTAGCTGTATGTTTGCTCAGCCATCGCCGTCTAGTGGTAAGGCCATGTTGATCTGATTATATGGATGGCATTCGAGCGCGCATGAAATTAAAAAAAAGGTTTTGAGCCACTGTAAATCGTACAAAATAGCCGCAAATTGAGCAAATATATGCCGTACATTGAGAAAAATATTGGAAAACGATACTTATGTCGCTGAATGCCAAAATCCATTCCAAAGGACAAGAAGAAAATGTGAAGGAATGAAAATATACTAGTAGTCTATTATTCACCATGCCATTAAAATATTACTCTATGTGTTTGATCATTTGTTCATCCTTCATGACCATAATTTCATAATGAAGGCCACTTTTTTTATTCGCACGCTCGCATCAGTTTTGAGGTTCCCATCGATGTCATCCATATAATTAAATCAACATGGCCTAGGGGAGGGAGGGGATTAATCAGTATATATGTATACGCTTTATAGTGAAAAGGTGGCTTATTAGCTATAACATATATATATACTCAGATAAGGCCACGCGTTGCACTACATGTCAATGAAACCCGTTAAACTATGTAATAATATTCTCCAAAACAGTTACTCAAGCAACTGGGCATGCATGATTTTCAATTTTTTTCAAAAATCATAATCCATGGCCAGTTGCTTGATTTGTATTTTGGCGTATCTTATTATTACCTGGATGTCTAACCTTCACCGACGTATGTAAATATTCTAGATCTTTTGATCTTTAATATATGATGTCATTAGCTTCGCAAAATTGAAAGGTAACGTATTAAATTTCGTCAGCGCTAGCGTACAACACATCCTGACTTGACGAAGCTCCTAAATCCCCCGAACTTTCGTACAAAACGTTTTCCACTTCCCCAGATTCTTTCTTATTCGGTTTCGCGTAAAGATCCTCGACATTTCGTGGCGTCTTCGCCTTGTTCTTGTCCGGTTTGCTGTACACAGGTACCTGCCGATCCGGGCCTGACGCCACGTTAGGCTGACCAATGGCGGAGTAGCTACAGGTTGCCCCTGACAACGCCAGCTGGACCCCGCCCTCCTCCTCCTCCCGTATGGTGTCGTACGTCGGCTCTGGGTCTGTGGTGACGTCAGTTGTGACGTCAGTGATGGCTTTAGGAGATGATGCACTTGGCGGAACTGGCGTGGGGTTTCTAAAATGCAAGTCGGAACAGCAAAAAACAGTCGTATAATATGTGGATGGAAAATTATTAAATTCCTTATATTTGACCACGCTTGGGAAAATTGCTAACGTTTTATATTTAAAACACATATCCCAAGCATATAATGATTTTCCAGTTAAACAATGGCATTTTGCAATAAAGTGGCTTGTCTGTGTGTTTTATCGCAAATTATTCATTCAGTCTTGAAACAACCACGCATTGATATAGCGCATATTAATTATTGGAATGAGTTACATGAAGAAATTGCAATGTACATGTACAACAAGACGTAATTTAGTACTCGTACATGGCTAGAAAGATTTTATACCATTTTGATTGATTTCAGTGCAAGGAACTTTTAGTTTTTTGTTTGAAGTTCATAAAGCATATGCGTACCTGCGCCTTCTCATGACTATGACGGCCGTTACTATGATAGCTGTCAGTACCAGCACATTCACACCAACTGCAACTCCGATGGTGACAGGCAGCGTCCTACCGCCACGTTGCGCTTCTACCGTATTAAAAGACGTAATAAAACTCTGCATACAAATGTCTGCATTAGCCAAAATAGAGGATTCTCTATCTATTTGATAAAAGCAATGTTTCTTCTAAGTTGAAATACTCCATATGAAAATGAAGTGCTACAAATTCTCATCTCCATAATATTCATCATTTGTACTTCTGAATTACAGGTTACGACCTATGACGTTGTTCCTATTCTAGGATAGTTTTGATGCATTTTTTTCTGCTTTGAAATCCTAGCTAAATACATGTGTACCTGTATATGTATACTTACTTGCCAGTCTAACCCCGGTTGTTCGACCCATAGATACGCGAGGCTCTGTTGTCATGGTCTGGATGCTTTTAGTTACCGCGGCCGCTGAACTCGTACTTTTAACTGTTTTCGTATTCGATTGAAAAGGGCGGCTTGTTGAAAGAGTGGTTATACCACCCGTGCCTGGAGCTGCAGAAAATATGTTTATCAAATACGATATGCATATCGGTGATTGGGACTAAAGTTGATTAGAATACTGTGCGTGCAAAAAAGACACACGTAAACTTTAGGAGACTCATAAACTGCATAAGGCTAAGGAGCGTGCTGCATTGCAAGCTATCCATGAGAGCAGCAATCAAATAAGACACCATATGCATCTGGTAGTAATTCAATGGTAGGTATTTAGCGAATAATGTTTGTACAGTGATTCTCCAGCTTACCTACAATGACAGTGCCACTCTGTTGAACACCATCCATTGCGTCTGATACAGATGGCTCAAATGTCTGTCCAGGCACGGATGTTGCAGTTGCGGAACTTGTGGCAGGTTGAGATGTGGAGGTGTTGGCTCTAGGGAGAGCTGTGGACGTTACCTTGCTGACTGGTGTTGTATCTATGGTTTGATCGAATCCAATTGAGTATAAATTAGACCATAGATTTCCTTTGTGCCATTCTAATTAATAAGTGGGGCTGTAAGTCTGCACCATGTACATGTAAATCCATTATATACATAATATACATCATCAGTTGGATTCGTTTTGTTTGTTTAATGTATATGGATGTACTTTTCCAATTAATGTGCCTAGGTTACTTTGAACCTTTCGTCTTATATTTGGTTAATTTGTTAAACTATGTTTGATCTATATGCACGTCCAAGTAGGACGAACTCGTAGTTACCACTTTGGCAGATGTACGAAACTCTCAAGAACTGAGTGGTTGTTGTAGCGCAGCTACTCAGGGATGAAGTTGTCATTCTGGGAAATGACCCTGTACAAACCGACTTTTGATTACAAAAGTCTTTGACGTACTGCGTAGCGTTCCAGGTCCGACAACAGTTTATATTTTGACAGTCCATATCGCAGGGCGGACAAGAACAAGATTTCCCGTAAGTTGCAGAGATGACGAAAATGGTACCGGTTTGAGAAGTCCCTTCACAGCTGATAGTCTCTGTGCCATACCAAGGGCAAAACCATGCTGCAAACATCAAAATGAAGCAAACATCAAACTTAGTACCAGAGAAGGAGGAAGCATTTTGTAAGTGCGTGACGCACAGACTCCGATTTACTTTATAAGTCTTACATTTATTACCTCCATGAACAAGAATTCTGAGATTTCATACCTCCATGAAATATTTGAGTCTTCGTAAATGTTTTTATTTGTCTCATTGACAATGGAAATAAGGTCATAATTAGCATAATCTAGTTTAATTTATGGTTTTGTAAATTCAAATGACAACATTTTTATATTGTAAAATCCCTCTACTTTGTCATACTTCATTTCAACATGTCCTCATTAATTATGCATATGATCTCCACATTAACATAATATATGCATAGTGGTGTTAACCTTTAAGTAACTTACACATGTCACCAGGTATAAGGTTCCGGGTCGGAGTTTTCCAAATAGTGCGCAGTAAATCGCCGGATCTGCGAGGTTATCACGCTAGGTTTGGCTCCCCATAGCTCGGCGATCGCTGTAGATTTTCAACTAGGTTTTGAATTGATCAAAAAGCCTTGGGATTGTAGTGTTTTTCGGCGCGGTGAAGTTGGACGGCCAGCGAAGCGTTTTTGGTATCAGTCCGCGAGCAAGGGTGATGCGGTTTGTCGCCTGATGACCCAAATAGCTGCGTTCTATGTGGAATTTCTAGGGGTTCGCGTCACCGGATTTTGCGAAAAACTTATCGCAACAACCTATATTTTTTTTCGGTTTTTCAGAAACAGAAAGTAGTAAGCTATTTCAGCATATAAGCTGTTAGCCTGGGAAAATTCGTTTTTTCCAAGCAGGTCCGTTGAAAAAACTGCAAAAAAACTACATTTTTCGTATCCAAAATTTACGTTTAACTACAGTTTCTACCCAAATTATAGAGTCGACGGACAATAACCAAAATTGTATCGGAAGCCGGCTGGAAACCTCCGTTGACTGATGTAATGAGATTTCCCGGCGTACTTTTTTTGGCGGAGTTATAGCCCTTCGGTCTGAGGGTGTCCGCCGGATCCAAAATCGTGAAAAAAACTCCGGTCCGAGACCATAAAGTCCCATCATTCACCAATAAGGAGTCACAGAATTTTCCCATTAATTATGCAAATTAGGTCATCATTTGCATAATTGGTATCTATTGATGTTCTGCCTGCCACATATTAAATAGATTACATGTATAAAAGTACTATAATATTATATAAAACACTGTAATTATAGCATTTTCTCATTAATTATGCAAATTAGGTCCTCATTTGCATAATTCGCATTTAATTATGTACAGCTCTCTCTCAGTAACCTACACACCAAAAATGATGAAAATACGTTGTTCCTATCTGGACTTACTGGCTTTTAAAGATTTCGCCAGAAAGTACCAGAAACAAGCTGCTAGGGGGACCAAACTCACACCACTTATTCCTGACAGAATAAGCTATCTGTCACCCAAAAGTCAAGACCATAGCATGTTCAAAACAAAAGATACAAAAACCGGAAGTTCTGCTGCAGTACCAAGGTCATCCACCAGGAGGCCCATATTTGACCTTGACCTTCGGCTTCCTAAGACTTACCAACATACCAAATATCATCACAATCTATAAAGGCGTTATGAAGTTATGCTGACTACAAATGTGCGGAAACACAAACACACACACACAGACAGACACACACACACACAGACGCGCCAAAAACAATACCTCCATTTTTCATGGAGGTAGAAATGGAGGTATTGTTTTTGGCGTGTCTGTCTGTGTGTGTGTGTGTCTGAGGTATTATTTCATGGAGGTATTAAATCTCAGAATTCTTGTTAGGTTTATTTTATACAGATATTCGATGCATTCGATGAAATTACGACAATCGTGATCAATGAGAACTATTGTTAATATGTTATGTACCCACCCCCACACACACGCACGTCACGCACGTCCCAAGCCTTACTTTGCCAATATGATCGTATACAGATTGTATACATATGCACATATATGATGTTTTAACTTCAAAGTCGATCTAACTGCACATTTTTCATTTGAAGAAAACGGGAACAAACCTTGTTTTTCTGTGAAGGACAGGCAGGCATTCACCGAAGACAGAACTACTGTCGCCACCGACAGGTATGTTTTCAACATCGTGGTAAATTAAAGTATCGATGATCTCAGATGTCCATAAAGTCACAGTCACAGCGGACAACCCAAGTGCAATATCAGCGGATCCAAATATCGGATTATACGATAAGATTTCGTGCCCACGAAACGCGAAGATCAAAATCACAGCCAGTAGGTTGACTTTGTTTCCTCATGGAACTTCCGTGTTGTTTCTTATTGCCGCTTGGGTGCGCAGAACAAGTCGAGTCGGTTACATCATAGACGGTCATCTAGGGTCAGGTGTTTGCCACGTCACCTAAGTGTTCGCTAGCTGCTCAAAAGATATTTCACATAGTGAGCATTTAAAACAGAACATTTTCGGTACTGTTGCCGTCTGTTTTAAAACTCTGGATCACTGATCATGTCTGTTCTGTTTTGGATGCGTCCATGTCCTGAAGTTGGGGTCAACAGTCAGCACTGCTACCTAGCGACTTCTGAGCGAAATGCAGGAAGTTTCATATCCGCCGTCATAACACTCCAAGCGCATGCGCGAGTCGAGAACTCTGGGACAGCCGCTTTCGAGTGAAGTGCGAACTCACACTTATCCAGAAAAAGTCCACGTTTTCCTCAGTTTTTGGCGAATTTCTCTGATAATATGGCGGACGACGCTTGGGCTCAAGCCGCGGACTCACAGGAGAGCAGCCAGCTGACGGAAAAGGTGAAGAAACGCGCGTTACGAGGCAGTAGGCCGGCGGGAAAAGTACGGCTTGGTTGCCGCGCGTGGTTAGAAAGAAGGTGGGGAGGGGGGCACCGGCCACGGAATGACTCTCGCGACCAAAATGCGCCCTAGAACTAACTCTCGTATGGCTTTGAAACGCCACTAACTTCAGATCTGCCTGCTTTAAACATCGTTGCATGTGGTATGATCTGTTTACCATGATTTTGTAGCATCTTTACGTCTTTTTACTGTAATTACTTTCATGTGGAATCCCCTTTCCTTGCCTTGGCGTTCCTAGCAGAAGCACAAAGACTCCAGGGATTTCAAGTGATTTTAAGGAAAACCCTGAGTCAAAAAATTCTGGCTAGGGGGCAGAAAAAATTCCGACACAGTCCAAAGACGTCCATGTGGGGTTGAGGTTCTTTGTTTTATGCCATTTGTCCTTTGTCTTGCATCAGTCTTGCCTAACACATGGACAGGACAGAATCACAGATTATTAGCATGTCAAAGGACCAATCACCTTGTTGTTTTTATTTATTATGTATAGCATATCCATGAAATAGTCATAACTTTGGGTCTTAAGAAAGGTCTACATACCAGCTCAGTGCTAAAATTGATAAGCTACATACAGTCTGAGCCGTAATGCGCTTGTTGTTGACAGGTGTTTTTTTACAAAAGTGAATGTTCAATTATAAGCTAAGCTCAATTTGTGACTCTCTTGAAGAATTCACACTGATAGCTTTATATCATTCTATTCGTACACATGAAAAATAGAACCCCCATCTTGTACTAACTTGTAAGTTGTAGGTTACTGTAAGCACTAAGCGGCTAAGCACTGTGGTAGAGTAGTGTTCCTTTATTGAAAAGAGGGCTAAATGACTCATCAATATCAAGTCAGGCATCATGCTCAGCTGCATTTGTAAAACACTGACTTGTCTCGTCATCACTTTACCAGCAATATGATGGTAGTAACACTCAAGTAACTGAGACCATCTCTTCTCCACTTCCCAGTTGAATGATGTTAAGATAGACCCTGAGAAGAAGACACCAGAAGTATGATGTAGTTCACTACTTTACCAGCTATGTTATTAGATGTCAGATCTAACAGTAACAGATCGTGTCCTTCCCCTCCCCAGTTGAAGGATGTAAAGATAGACCCTGAGAAGAAGACACCAGAAGCAGCAGCAGGAGGATCAGGAGACGGGGATGACAAGGCAGCGGGGAGTTCCACCTCAGGGGCGGGGAGTTCTGCAGAGGCTAACGGGGAGAAACCTGAAGATGGCGACGAAAAGGGTTTGTTAATAGTTTACTGTTGAAAAAGACAGTCCTTCAATCATGCCTATATATACAGCTTATCATGTGTTCCGTGTCCCTTGTTTGTACCCCAGGGCTCTAGCCACATCAGTTTTTCTGTCAATTACCGGAACTTTGTTCCATCTGTACATATTTGTGTCAATTGAGATTTCAAGCTGTTCTTGTTGTTAGAGAATAACTTCTGTAGGTTAGAGATAGTCTGGCTGCTTTTGGAAGAAGTTTGGAAGAAGCCTTCCCTGTCCACCTTTTCCCTTTGTACCAGTTTCTAAAAGAAAAAATGATTCTTCCTTCTACAGCTCCCAGTCCTGAGGAGGTGTCGTTCCTTAGGAAAGTCTTACGAGAACGTCTTGTGCAGAATAAAAACGAGGTGGAGATCATGCAGAAGGACCCCAACTCTCCGCTTTACTCTGTCAAGAGCTTTGAGGAACTCAACCTGTGAGTACAGGTTTTGTTATGAATACAAAATAGTGTTTACTTGAAAAGATTGATAGGATTTTCAAGTATCAGCATTTTAGAGCACTTAAATACCAAGTTGCTGACTTTAAAAAAGTTAATATCTGTGATTACCTGCAAAAAATTGCTATTGCGAGGTTTAATAGTATTCAGGTGGTTTGTGGTTAATTGTATGTTCAGTGGAAGGAAATGTTCTTAAGAGTTGAGATCTTGTTGTATGGTACAGTGTAATATGTTAATAGACTTAAAGTAAGCATATAGCTGAAAGAGCTATATGCAACCTTGCTTACTTACTATAAGATGAAGTGTTTTGTCCTGAGTTGTATTGTATTTCCCCCAGTCCCCCTGACCTGCTGATGGGAGTGTACCACATGGGGTTCAACGCTCCCTCCAAGATCCAGGAGACAGCCCTGCCCATGTTACTGGCAGATGAGTAAGTGTTCTTTTTGTTTATCCTGGAGTGCAAGCCTTTTGTCATGTTTAGAGGAACAAATATTGTCAAATGCTGTACTGTAATACAGTATTTTTTTTACATTTGTTAACCATTGTTTTGCCCCCCTCCCCTACAGTAAAACCAACATGATCGCCCAGTCCCAGAGTGGTACAGGAAAGACAGCTGCCTTTGTCCTGACCATGCTCAGTAGAATTGACACCAAGAAACCTTACCCTCAGGTATGACAAGGTTCCGGATCCTTGAAACTTATAGGACTTTATTTTATGTTTACCTCAGCAGAAGGAAAACGTATATTGTTTTCTCTCCATTTCTTCTTCTCCAAATGTTCTCAGAGTCAAAACAAATAAGGTAAATGATCTGGACCAGGCGACTGTCTCCATGGTAACTGGTGCTGTAGCAGACACCCTGTGGTGTTGGATTACATTATGTAGCAAGTAGCAGGACAGAGTTGGACTTGTGTCACCGTACATCTATGAATGTGTTTGACTTTGAGTAAGAATAAACATTTATTTGTTAGGGGAAGGTTAACATTATGCAGAATGCTGAAATGGTTGTTAAAAAGTGCTGTTGTTTACAGTCTTTGTTGTTGTTTTTGTGTCCAGGCGTTGTGTCTGGCGCCGACCATGGAGCTGGCCCTGCAGATTGGCCAGGTGGTGGAACAGATGGGGAAGTACATGGAGGGGTTAAAGGTCGCATACGGGGTCAGAGGAAACAAGGGTGAGTTTTTACAAAATTTTACAGATGCATCTCATAAAAATGAATTTATTAGCATTTTAGCAGATATACAGGCTGATGATATTTGTTCCTTTAGTTAATGTTTGTTGTTTCCTCTAGTCATGTTTTTTTTAAGCTGTTGTTTTGTTGACATGCTTTATTGTATGTTCCAATTGCATGGTCACAGAAGCTGACTGATCACATCAGTGTCACCTCCAAGATAGTGTTGGACTGGTCTCTGAAGCTGTGGGTGTGTTTATGATTGTTGTTTTGTTGACATGTTTGTTGTTTGTTCCAGTTGCACGTGGACAGAAGCTGAATGACCACATCATCATCGGCACCCCCGGCACAGTGTTGGACTGGTCCCTGAAGCTGCGTGTTCTGGAGCTGAAGAAGGTGGAGGTGTTTGTACTGGACGAGGCTGACGTCATGATCGCTACACAGGGACATCAGGACCAGAGCATCAGAATACACAAGTACACAGGATTTACTATTATAACATTCACACACACAGGGACATCAGGAACAGAGCATCAGAATACACAAGTACACAGGACTTACTATTATAACATTCACACACACAGGGACATCAGGACCAGAGCATCAGAGTACACAAGTACACAGGACTTACTATTATAACATACATGTACACACACACACACACAGGGACATCAGGACCAGAGCATCAGAATACACAAGTATTTATCATTATAACTCTGAATTACACACACACACACACACACAAACACACAGTGTGACACACAAACATACACGCACACATACAGACAGGCTGCCCCAACAGCTGACGACTGATTGAGTGAGGGGGATCCAGTTTAGTGAAGCTTCATGGCAACTCCACACAAACGTACACACAAATTTGCAAATCAAATCTTTCCTAAGGACATGAAATACCACCTACCACTTAAACTGGTTGAAGTAGGCCTCACTGTTCTTCCTTGTAATAGTCAGAATAAGTTTTCTTAGACTTGGTGAGTTGCATGTGATGATACCTTACTCATGTGAGTCTACTCCCCCAGCCGTGTGCCTCCGCCTGGCTAACTTGTCTGAATCTTGGGGGGAGACTCCAGCACAGCTCTCCCCCTGTAAGGGCAGACACACAGGAAAACTGTCGCTTTGGGTCGCGTGGTCGGGAGCCATCGCCTCGCGATAAAGGACGGACAGGACATCTGCGATCGGGTCGGTTAAAGCCGGGTGGTAGGCTGGCTGGGATTGGTGGGTGGTCATGTGATCAGTTCTTTAGTAATCTGATGTTTCTCACCAAGTCAGTAATATTTGTATTTTAGTATTTTTCCAAAATAAAAGATCGAAATTTGAAGTAGAATTTAACAAAAAGCAAGTCTTATTTACCCCATCCTCAAAAAGAACTATCATTGCAATTGAGGAATTCTCACTTTATCAAGTTTATGTGGTATGTGAGAGAATTCCATTCCTATGTGTTTATCCAAACCTAAGTCATTGCAAGCTTTTCTAATTTCTTTATCATTTGTGTCATTGCCATAGAAACCTGAGTAGGTCCTGTCAGATGCTGCTGTTCTCTGCGACCTATGATGACCCCGTCATGGCATTCGCACAGGTGGGTCAATGTTTTGCCGCCAATTTACTTCAGTAGTTACAAGGTTCAAGCCCCTGGAAATCTTTAAGTCCCAACCAAATTAAGTTTTAAAGACCAGGGGTTAAAATACTTTTTTTTTCCAGGTTGCCCGGGCGGCAACCTGGGTCAAAAGCCAGGTTGCCCCATCAGGATTTCAGGTTGCCCCATTTCAAAGGAACTGGATGCTTCAAATCTGCTACCCAATTTCCATTATCCTTTCTTTTTATCAATTAATAGGTTTGTTTATCAAGTAGCAAACACAACAGCTGTCAAACATCATCGTTTATTCAAAAATGCTACCTTCACATCTCCGACTCTGAGCCGGAAGAACTGCTGGTTTCATCATCTGCCTCGTCCTGCCTGGGCCTTCTTCCAAAAACACCTAGAGCTCTCTCAATATGACCGATCCACCTACTAAGGATGTGGACCTTAACCCATGTTGAGGTTCAGGTCCGGACCAGAGGTTTAGGTTCAGGTCCGGACCTTATGATTCCGGACCTAAACCCATGGCAATGCAGTCATATCACTCGAGCAACTTGGCTAAATTATTAAAGATGAAAACTCTTTAATAAATACTTCTATCAAAGAGTCAAAGACAGAAAGATTGAACTTAACTCAAACTTGTCTTGTGTTATTCACTGGTAAGTTCTGATACAGCCGTGCAACTACTGAGTACTGTTAGCACCCTTAATTTTGAAAAAAATTGGGCATAGGTTCCCCGGATGACCCCTAACCGGGGGCCAACGGTGCTTCCACAAGTTCAACAAGTGAAAAATACACAATGTATTTACTACCTGGAACTTGGAGCAAATATTCCCTAGGGGCAACATTAATCTTAATAAACTAATTTAAAACCAAATATAACTAAGCTAGTATTTAGTAACCTAATCATATCCCAAACAAAATCACATATTGACACAGCTGAACAAATAAAAATGTGATTATGTCTATAGACTCCTACTCAAAAACAATTTTTGGGAGACACTCGGACCGCCTGGTAGGCAGGGTCATATTAATCTCTAATGTCTAATATACGTCAAGTCCTTCACAGCATCCAACCGCACATTCTAAGATACAACTATTATATTCTGAAGCTAGAAACCAATAAATTTGAAAAATTTCACAGTAATGTTTGAAAATTAACCTTCTGAAAATATGAATTTTTATTTCTGTTGTTGCCGAAAAATAATTTCATGCGTTTAAAGTATCGTTTTAGCACATTGCAATGTCCTGTACGTTTAGATGCTAACTTGACCTTTGACCACTTTTGTTGTCAACATGTGTCGGCCATGTCGGCCATTATTTCTCAGTCTTTCGAGCTGTTTTTTTTTCGACAAATTTCAACCGTTTTAAACATTTCACGGCCTCAAAAACTCATAAAACGGGGAAACTATGGTATAGTTGTTATTTTCATGCGTAACATTTCTTCTGAGGATGGATTATTTTTCCGCGGAACCGCCGAGAACTTCACGCGCACAGCCGGCAGGATAGCGGCTCGATCCACGCCGCTCGGCCGAAGAAAATACGAATGACGAACACATTTATCGGGGAAATATTGGAATTAAATCCCTACGCGCACGTGCTCAGGGAGGCGAAACGCCAAATTATCAACATCCGCTGTTATTTGAGTAGAGGGACTGCTCACGTGCAGGCCGGCAGGCCGAGGCGGGATGTTATCAGGCGGGACCGCGGCACTGTTTATTTCAGAAGCCGCTGGCCGTAAACCCAGCCGCTGTAAAAATAACTTGCGCCCCGGGCAACCTGGGTTTCCGAATAAGTCTCGCACAGAAAAAATTACTTGCGCGGCGAGACTGCGAGACCGGGTATTTTAACCCCTGAAGACACATAAAATTTCAAAAATCTAACTTTATAGTGCAACAGCTATAAAAGTTATGGCAGAAATTTAGTGTTCTCGCCAGGTCTTTTAAGCATAGGGGCCCCCCGTGCTGTTATATGCTGATTTGTACCTCCATGATCTGACACCTCAATGATGAAACATTGTACAATCAGTTTTCCAACATTGAAACTATAAATGTCCTCTTACAAGTTTTACTTTGCTAAACTGTATAGAGCCATAAGTTGGATCACTATATAGAGATTGCCAAAGTAAAAAAAAAAGAAAGAATAAAAAGATGATCCCTACCTACTGATCCTAATTTTTTCAAGACTGAAACAGGAAACCCAATTTTTTTCCTATTGGCCTAACAACCTGTGGACATGAGTAAGAAACTAGATCTAACTTTATGTCCATATTCCCCAGGTGGTTGTGCCAGACCCAGTTATCATCCGGCTGCGTCGGGAAGAGGAGAGTCTGGACAACATTAAACAGTACTACGTCACGTGTGAGAACCGGGACGCTAAGTTCCGCGCTCTCTCCAACATCTACGGTGTGGTGTCTATAGGACAGTGTATGATCTTCTGTCATGTGAGTACAATAAAATAATACTCCTGTACTCCATATCAAAGAAGAAAGTTGCCTTCATTATACAGTCTTGGTGGCCATGAAGGTTGAACAAATGGCTAAAAATACAGTGTATGGTATGGAGAAAAAAGACACATTTTCATTTCGTCACATTTTTTTCTTTTCCTCTGGAATTGATTTTGGCATACAATGTAAGTATCATTTTACAATATTTTTTCATTATACGGAATATATTTGCTTATTTTACAGCCACTTTGTACAATTTACAATATGGTCGAAAACTTTTTTTGGAAAAGGGGAGAAAATTCATGCGCACACGGATGTCATCCATATAATCAAATCAACATGACCTTATAAGTAAACATTGAATTGAAAGGACTGGACTTGGTAGGTTTTACTTTTTAGAACATCGCATTTCTAGAGGGAAAGCTACCAGAGCTATAATTAATAATAAAACCCAAATGAGGAAAAAAACAGCATGGCTTGTGGATAAAATGAAGGGAAACTGACACATAACTGCTCTGCTAACAGAACTGCTGAGTTAATAAATTAATATCTGTATTTTGTAACAATCAATGATCACTGTTTACCTCCCCAGACAAGGAAAACAGCAGCGTGGCTTGCAGAGAAGATGAAGGGAGACGGACACGCAGTGGCCCTGCTGACAGGACTGTTAAGTTGATGAATCGATAACTACATTTTTGATAATCAATAATTATTGTTCATCGCGAACAGACAAGGAAAACAGCAGCATGGCTTGCGGAGAAGATGAAGGGAGACGGACATGCGGTCGCCCTGCTGACAGGAGAACTGATGGTGGAACAGAGAGTCGCTGTCATCAACCGCTTCAGGGACGGCAAGGAGAAAGTACTCATCACTACCAACCTGTGTGCCAGAGGTCAGCAACTGTTTATTACCTCCATGTGAAATGGAGGTATTGTTTTAGGTCTGTCTGTATATGTGTATGTGTGTGTGTGTGTGTGTGTGTGTGTGTGTGTTTCCACAGGCAGGTTGTAATGGATATGGATGGGTTCAGATTGTCCCATAGTGAGCAAGACATTAATCATTTCTACATCTGGTCAGTATGCACTCGCTGCTTTCACAGATGTTAGTCGTTACATGACCTCCCTAACAGCTATTGCCCTTGTGCGATATAGAAGGAGGTTGCATCAGCCAATTTGATAGTTCACAAGAGCAAATGGAGCATTCTGTTCAAGAGAGATTTTTCAACCCCTCCTTAAAAGTGGTGACTTGTAGACATCATGGTGAATGAAAAGAGGATTAAAAAAATAACATTTCGATATTATTTAACATTTCCGATAAAGGGCTGTAGGTTGTTGTATAACAGAATAGATGATATTAAATGAATCAAACAGCAGTAAAAAAGTAAAACACTCAAGGAGGCTCTTTTCATGTCTTGTTCCAGGTATCGACATAGAACAAGTCACGCTGGTGGTGAACTTTGACATCCCTGTGGACCAGTACGGGCAGCCGGACTGCGAGAACTACCTGCACCGTATCGGACGGACGGGGCGGTTTGGGAAGACCGGTCTCGCCATCAACATGGTGGACGGTCCGCGCTCCATGTCCCAGCTAGGCAAGATCCAGGACCACTTTGGTAGGTTGGACCGTGTGTTAACCTTCTTCCTGCTGCCTAACACCTTAAGCAGTACGATTTGGTGCCAAACTGATACCTTAGTATGCTAAACTTAAAGGTTAATTATAATTTCATACCACACTCCGTCTCAGCTAGGCAAGATCCAGGACCACTTTGGTAGGTTGGACCGTGTATTAACCTTCTTCCTGCTACCTAACACCATAAGCCGTATGATTTGGTGCCAAACTGATACCTTACGTCCTTAGTATGCTAAACTTAAAGGTTAAGTATAATTTCATACCACACTCCGTCTCAGCTTGGGAAAATCCAGGACGACTTTGGTAGGTTGGACTCCTTATTAACCTTCTCCCTTTTCCTAACACCATAAGCAGTACAAATTTGATGCCAAACTGCTACCTTAATATGCCAAGTCTCAGCTTGGCAAGATCCAGGACCACTTTGGTAGGTTGGAACATGTTTAACCCTTCCCTGCTGCCTAACTCCATAACATAAAAATTTGATGCCAAACTGCTACCTTACCATGCTAAAGGTTAAGTATGATTTCATCCAGAATTTTTTATATCCTACATGAATGTAAACCATTATGGTATCCTACATGTAAGTAGGTTTGAGTAAAACCCTTGTACTGTTTTTTTTTTTTCCCACAGGGAAAAAGATCGCCAAGCTGGACACAGAAGATGCAGAAGCAATTGAAACTGCAGTAGGAGAGCAGGAATAGAGAAACAAACATTGGTGTAATACCCTCCTGTCACCACTACTATAGAATAGTAAACAACTCTAGAGACAACAAATGATGTGCATTGTTGTAGATGTTCAAGTCTTCCCGTGTATAACTGAGACTAAAACTTTTTTTCTTTGCACAATGTGCAATTTACAAGTCATATTTTATATTGAAAATTGTTTGTTAAAAGCAACTGAGCTCTCTTGGAATGCTTTGCCCAAAATAGTGTTTCTTTGGCCCTGTAAGTATTCAGAGCAAGCCAAGTGGGACATTAGTGACATCTGTGACCCATGAAAAGTTTTTTTTTGTCTAAAAACTACAAACTAGGTAGGTGTTAAACTATCCAGAGTTGAATGTGCACAGACAAGTTAGATTTCTGTGTTTGTTCCTCTGTAACTCTTATCATTAGCTAACCTTTAAGCAGAATTCTGGGAGATTCAAAGAAGGAAACAGAGCAAAGCCAAAACAAAGATACTAAAAATAAAACACAGCTAGAACAAAGATATTAAAAACTTAAACACAGCCAAAACAAAGATGTGAAAGACATCCAATGCAGTTTCAAGGTGACAAACCTAGATTTTCAAAATCAACTTTCTGCTTATCGTTTAATGTAGTAAGTTAAATTAATTCAATAGTATCTCATAGCATACTGGTATCTGAAGAAAAATATGATGTTGCTGACGGAAAACGGTTGCTTGTTTGGTATTGCAGGCTGGTTCTAGATATTTATTGGTGGTACCTAAAAATAAAGGGACTCCTCACATAGCTTGTTTTGAAATTTTTTTTAAATGCGTCAAATGATTATAAAACGGTGCTTAGAAATGGCAATGTCAATATAGGACAGATTTCCTCATGCAAAATATTTTTGTTTGCTGCCCTGAAATACCATTGGATGCCTTTAATACAAAGGTACATGTAAGTCGTAATAACACCATATCATAAATAAGGTAAGGTAGTGTGCCTAAAAGTGTTTTAATTGTTTATAAGTTACAGGTTTAGTGTTGATGTAATAGATGAAAATACAAACTACTAAAATATGTGAGGACACATAGTTAATGTTATGTTGCGGGTTGAAATACTTAGTATACACATACTTAGTATTTACTTTGATTTGGTAACTGTCATATATGTTTTATACACTTTTATAAAGTGATGTTTGTTCACCAAAAGTGTCATTACCAAAAGAATATAAAAGATTATATTATTATGGAAAAAATTGTTATGCGAAAAAGATTTGTGTGAAAGTAAAAAGATGTTTGTGTAGATATTGGCATGCATGGAAAGTGAGAATAAAAACAGTATTATGTAAAAAAAGCCACTATTTGAAATATTTTGTGAAATTCCAATGCTTGTGACCTAAAAACGGGTAGATAGCCCAACTTAACTTGGTGCAATAAAATATCACATTCTGATGTTTCGATAAACTGTAAATTACGTTATCTAAATTGGTATTTTTGATAAGATCTGCTTGAAGCTGAAGCTTAAACTTTGTAAGAAAAAAAAGTGAAAGAAAAGGACTAACTTCTATAGATATCACTAGGTCTATAATATAAAGTTATAAACTTTGTTTTACTGAAGATGTTTTTTTTGCTTGGTAAACTAAAAGTATGCTGTAGCTGTACTTCTAGGAGTAACTTTGCTTTTATAGTCTTAGACTACTTGAACACTTAGACTGTCTTGTTGGTTTCTTGAAATGTATAGAAGTATGTACTAGTAACTGTAAAACACATGTACGTATAAGCAAGTGGTCAGTGGTAGTTGTGTTAAGCATAACGTTTATGTGGCTAGATACCCAATAACTAGTATAGTGTAACATGTATAGCCCATAGCTTGTTATAGGTGGAATAAAAAAAGATTTACCAGTATGCCATTGTGTTGAAATTATTATGTTTACCTTTGCTGCGGCTTTGCAGAAAGAAAACGATTGTTTTTGCTTAGTTTCCTCTCAAAACACATTATCAGTGCAGCAGCAAGTGGTCACTCATTAGAATAATTGACCACTTGGCCTTAACATTATGCAGGGGGGGATACTAGTAACGTTTGCTAACATTTGTGGTATGTTTCTTGGTTGAATAAAATTGTAATTCTTCGAGTATCATCACAATTCGATATTTGAGTAGACGGACCGAAAAAAAATTAGTATTACTTTATAGTAGTAATAGTGTACAATTTGATAATGAAGTATACAATTTAGGTTTAGCTCCATTTGAAAACGTTTCCAATGTGATAACATGCTACATGAGGAAGTATGCTACTCCCTTTTGGCTGTGTTCACCTTTACACCCAGTGATTAACATAAACATGTGCCTTATTCACCCCCACTATCGCCCGAGGCTGTTCCGTAAGCCAGACCTCCTACCGACAGGGACGCGTTTCCCCAAACACTGGGTCCAAAATCGAGGAATTACCGCTCTTTTACCGCTTCTAACGCTGTTTCAACTTCTTGGGAACAACAGGACAGGTTGGAGAATCTCTGGTACGTTCCAGTACAGTAGGAATTGTTTGTTTCTCAAAGTTGTGCTTGAAAGATTGTTGACGTAAAGGCGGGCTTCAACGTTTGTGTACGTAAGCGACTGTTTCCCCAAACACTTTTTTCAGTCTCAAATTTGCAAGCAAAATGTAGGATTTCTCTGGTCTTTGATCGTTCTAGTGGCGTTCGAACTTCCTTGGAACATCAAGTACAGGTTAGTCTTATATCCTCACGTTATGTACAGTTTTGCAGTAAATGCTTGCACCTTACAACAATGCTTATGGGAGTGTTTTAATATTGTTATGTGTGGAGGGTAGGACTGAATGACAAAATGTGTTCTGTTGTTACAGACTGTTGGCTCCAGTTAAAAAAAAATTAGACTCGTTCAACTTTTATAAGTCTGAAATTTGAAACCCAGCGTTAGTTATCAGCTCAGACTTAATTTTGTTGAATAATGCTGCGAAAGAATCTCTGATTATTTTCCGTTTTGCTCACAGTTTTTGAAAGCAAACAGTCCGCAACGGTTGATAATGAAGTTAACTTTCTATATTCAGAGCTAACTCTACCAGTGCAGGGGGCTTACCGTACCCTTGTTTGCTGACAGTAGCCACCTGCCGTTGCTATGGTAACGGCGTCAGGTGTTGTCTGCCCCGAAGCGCCGTGTGACCCTTCTCATCCGGGGTAGTGACGTCATCCTTTGTGTAGCTATGCCAGGAGATTTCTAATTATCTCCAAGCAGATGTAGGGTGAGAGATAGTTGTTGGCCTTCAACGTTGTGTCAAAAAAACGAGCTAATTAAAGACTGTTACTCCTCAAAAGAAAAAAAAAACAATAGCAGCATTCATCATAGGTGTTCTTGATTTTGGTATGTTTTAAGAGTCATCTGTTAATTTTTTTTAATTTTTATTTCAAAGATTATGCCGACTTCCTTCACCTCTGACCTGAAGATTGGATGTGATGACAACTGCATGCCTGAGGTCAGTCGTCATGGTAACAGTATCATCTGAAAATCAGTCGTCATAGCAACGCCATCAGTCGCCATGGCAACGACACCATCCCGTCCATCTGTCATCATAACCACGCCGTCGCGTCAAAGCGTCGTCATGGCAGCGGCGCCATCTCGCCATTCCGTTACCATGACAACAATTCCATCCCTTCCCCTGATATCTTCAGGACAGCTTCTCCTGGATTCCGCCATGGCGCAGGGAGCCAGCTTTTTTCCCGCCAGGAATGAAGCGATCAAGTCCGCCATTTACAAGCACCGATTCGAGCGGATTGGCGCCAAAATCCAGGCCGCCAGGGCCTTCTGCGGACCCCAGGCTGCTGCCGCGCCCAGGTACGTGTGGAAGGGCACGGAATCGGCGGTCACGAATGTAGCGGTCCGGGACAGCGAGTCACCCGGACACGAGATGTCAGAGAAAACGTTACTGCGCGTGCCCAAGGTCAAGGGCAGGAAGAACCCAAATCAGCCGACTGCTGCTGAGATTCAGATCTACAAGGACACTTCCTACCAATGCTGCGACGTCCTGGGCGATAAGACGTGCAGCAAGTGTCAGCGGTACAACTACAGAAAGCAGCACGTGCGGGGATGGGGCAAGAAGTTCAGATTCGCTCAGCAGACGGTGAGAATCAACCACCTGCTTCCGGAGTTATCCGTGGGAGAAATTCGCGAAAAACTCGACTTCCAAGAATTTTCTATCGCAAGTTTCGTAGAAAGAGAGGAGAAAAGGAAAGCAAAACTTGCTATGAATCCAAACATTTCATCTGGTAGATTCTTGAGTTCTCAAGCTGGAACAACCTCCCCAAGGTCAAGACCGATGAGCAGCCATATTGGCTACGACGGTGCCTCGTTCCCAGGAGACGACAGTGTGCAACTTGTCGTTCCCAACGTAATCAGTGATTGGGAATCAAAAGGAGAAATCTTCAAATCACCTAAAAGAACACGTGGCCAGGAATCAAAGACTTTAGATACGGAAGAAGAATCAAACGACGACAAAAATGCATTCGAAGAAGCTGGCCCTGGGATGGAGACTAACCTGGGAACGTCGCAAGAAGAGTCTGGGACAGAGAGTCGGAATCCCTTTAGGATACGTCGTCCCCGGAGTACTCTTCTAACGGACTATGTACCAATCAAATGGCACTATCCTCCTCACGTCATCCCCAATATCGATCCCCCATTGGTTGATTCTCACTGTCTCGTGGATGCCCGTTTCTATGCTGGGAAAGGCAAATAGATTGACAATTGCAGTTCATGGTGAAAAGTCTAAACAACTTGATAGCTGCATTATATTAGGCCACCTTTCTTGATTTTATATGGATGCCAGCAAGATGACCTCTGAGTCTGATGCATATGTGAAAGAGAGAAGAAGTAGTTTGTATGGTAATGGCAATTTTACGACTATTGTATGTGCTGATTTGAAAAAAAAAAATGTCGTGAACATGACAACACGTTGTATCGGTTTAATTGTATTCATGAATAACTTGCTGATACAAATAAACAAATGCGAGATCAACCTTCTCAATAGAGGAAGAAACACTAGTAGCTAAGCCGTGGCACGTAAATGAAAATATCATGGGTTACTAGTACTCTCCTATATATAGCCAGCGTAGTTAGTCTGGTAGAGACTAGGTAAAGTACTGTGCCTATGAGACATTTTTCCTGGTACAACGGAAGCTAAAGGTCAATGACCTTCACCTGGCCACAGGTCACCATGCCCTAGATACGCCCCGGACCTACCACATCTAGATAAGCAGATGGTGCAATTGTTAACTAGACCTAAACAAACCTGCATTGTGGTGCATGTTTTGTGATATCCCTCCGTCTCCTCCTTAAGAAGACCCGCGATCCTTAAAGACAACACGGGAGGATCACATGACATACAGCACAGTGCAGATTCTCTATGCTCTAATTCACTTCAATACACCATCTCCTTCTAGTAGGTCCAGGGTGCACCGAGAAGATTTAGGCCCCATTCCCACTAGGATAAAATAGTCTGGATCGAGCCGAATTGATTCGCTTTGATCCGGCTTCGAGCCGGCTTGATCCGGCTCAAAGCTAGCTCGAAGCCGGATCAAAGCGAATCAATTGCAATTCAGCTTGATCCGGACAATTTTATCCTAGTGAGAATGGGGCCTTTGACGAAGAAAAAGAATGAAATTCAATTTGGGAATCATCGAAGAAACATGCCAGGATCTATAGCTTTGGTTGTTCCAGGAACGAAGTACATCTGCAGTTTCTGGTGTAACAGTAGGCCAAACTGATTCTATAAGCGTAAAAAAATCGTCCAGAGTCTGAGTACCGAATACCGTGACACAGGAAAGAACAAGGACTAATTTTTTGAAGTGGCTGACACAGACTACAAGCTTAATTGAGCAACAAACACGACAGCATCTTTTTTATACTTCCAACAACACACAGATTTTCGAAAGGAGATTTAGTGAAAATTGTGCAAATATAGCTTCTCTACACTTGGCCAGCTGTCACTAGCCAGTGTTAGATAATCTGTCGCTGCCTTATCGTGTCTTACACAATGTCGAGATGTCTTGCATTTCTAGTGTCCTGTTTCTGTTTGCTTTTCTACCTGTCCAGGGCGTATAGAGGAGATTGAGATCATGAAAAAAGGAAATTCGAGAATCCTCACGTGATCTTATGAAGCATGCCGTCCTCACGTGATGTTATGAAACACGCCGTCATGCGTCGCTGCATCGCCCTTAAAGATCCTTTGCCTAAGGTCACACCAGGTAATTTTTACCTCTGGAGACCTTCAATCTAATGCGAGAGAGTGAAAAAAGGGCCGAAAAAAACAAGATGCCTAGATTTGAATGCACTAAGGGGCGACAAATGGACACAAATTGAATGAGAGAACACAGTGTAACAACCAAGAAGTCTTGTCAACAAGTCATGAAAACAGAAATGAATCAGTGGAACAGTAATTGTCGTCCTGTCATGTTTCAGGCTTCCTTTTTATAATCACATCTTCCCTTATCGTTATCCCACTGTCGTGACCCTTTGGTCATAGTTAAAAGAAGCGGTATTTCTATTTTTCTGGAAAAAAGCCAAAATCAATGCGCGCGCGGACGTCATCCATTAAAATTACATGGTGTGGCCTAATTTTCACGATACGCCCTGGACATACCGGAATGACTCTGCATTGTGCTGCATGACACGTGATCCTTCCGTGCCCTCTTGAAGGACGTTTGAGGTGACTCTTACCACGGTGCCGAAGACCTGACTTTTGGCAATAACTACCCTGACGCCCTCCCGCGGCGGCAAACGTGGAACACAGATTTCTCTTTGTTACGTATACCCTACTATAATTTTTACTGTCTCGAAGTAAGTCACCTTGGGGTCCTTAACTATAGAAACCCCCATTGCGCGAAAATCGTGTTCTGCTGCCATACGACAACAGACATGCAGACAACATTAGGCCATGTTGATTTGATTATATGGATGACATCAATGCACGCGTCAATTTTCGTTCGTTTCTTAAAAAAAAAGGTTTTCAAACATACTGTAAATCGTACAAGGCAGCTGCAAAATAAGCAAATATGTGCCGTAAATTGCAAATACTATGTCGTAGTCACAGTCAAATCTAAAGTCTAAGAAAAATAAATACATGGGTTCCTATTTATAATTATATGTCGGGGCTCCCATACTCGCTCCCTGAGGAACGACTATGGGAGCCCCGACATACAAATAGGATGGCACCCAGGCTAAGAAGAATATGGGAAAGAACAAAAATGACAAATCTACTGTTCGGTATATCATACTTTGTCATTTGTTCAACCGTCCTGACCACGCTCGCCTCAGTTTTTGGGTTCCCAGGGGATGTCATCCATGTAATAAAATCATCATGGCCTGATCTGCATGTGTGGTTGTTAACAGAGATTTGCATCACAAAGACCAAACTAGTTTAAGGATTATGGGTAATGATTCCTTTTGGTCCACACCCGAGCCATTTCTGAAATCATACAGGGTGAAGAGAGCTGCTCTACAGGTACGTGTTTTAAGTCCTGCTTCTTTTTGCCTTTTCTCTTTATACAAGTAGTTAATTCTTTAGGAAGACACTAGGATGTCATTTCATTTATCTAATAGTATTCTACCAGAAGATAACACTCAGAACCAAATAGCATAGCCAGAAATAAGATGCATCGTCATTTTGGGCGGCTTGCCTGAACCAAATTCTAACTTTTAATTTTGTACCACTGCTGGTACGAACCATAAGTTTGAGTATAGTTTACTCCAACACAAGGTGTTCATGTGTTTGTTAAGAAATTGGAAGGTGAAGAGCCTTGTTAGCCATGCGTGACGCCGTTCGTTGGCAACATTTGATTGGATCAACTGGTGGCAGAAATCTACACCTGTAAGGCTGATTTGTAAGATTCAATGTTAAGTATTATCAGAAGAGTGTTTTTGTCCCAACGTCTGAGTTCATTGAATAATACCTATCACGCTTGACTATCTCCAGTAACTGTTCCATTTAAGTCTTACTACTGTCATTTGGTCTTTAAGATAAATCCTTTTGAAGGACTATTGAATAATGGTTTACAACACATTTTTCTTAAATTCAATTTTCATTAATGCAAGCGCTAGCGTCTTTCCTCGACAATGTGCTCGCAAATTCTGTTAAAAGGTATCATGAATAGTGTAGCATCAATAAAGGGCACTGGAAAATTAACAAATGGGTATCTAATTTGTAGAAACGACTTACATAGGCATTTTCTGGTCAGGCATCAGCTCGCATTTTAATTGTAGTGACCAAACTGGTCCCACAAGCTTTTAGGCTTGTAGAATTTTCGAACCAGGTCACTAGTGTATAATAGAAAAAATGGCCAGAGTCTGAGTCTCGAATACAATACAGAAAAGAACAAGGACTAACCTTTTGAAGTCACTGTGGTTGACAGAGACTACAAGTTAAATTTACCAACATATCATCTTTTTTTTTACTTCGAATGATACACAGACCCTCGAAAGGATGTATCAAATGCAAATTGTGCAAATTAGTTTCCCCACACTGACCCAGCTGTAACTAGGCTGTTTTAGACAGTCTATCGCTGATACGGGCTACGCTTAAGGCCCCATCAGTCCCACTAGGGTAAAATTATCCGGATCGAGCCGAACTGATTCGCTTTAATCCGGCTTTGATCCTGCTCGATCAGGCTAGAAGCTGGAAGCCGTTTCACAGCGAATAATGATGAATTCGGCTCGATCCGGACAATCTTTATCCAAATGAGAATGGGGCGGGCCTAGGGGGTCTTTACCTTTTTTTTCACCGGGCATGCGCACCCTCTTTGATTGCATCAGCCCAAGGAGGTTTATTTAACCCGAGGAACTAACTATTATATAAAGTCCACCAGGAGGCAACAGAGTTAAGATCAGTTAACATTCGCCGCCGGTATCTGAGCCGGTAAGGTGAGAAGTTTTTGCTTCTCCCGTTTTCTAATTGATTTTGTCTCGTAGGGCTGACATAGAGTTGAAACCAAGATGACAGTCAAATACGGCGTGGCGGTGTTTCTGTTGCTGTGTCTGGCGGCCGAGGTTCGGGGAGGGTGCAATCGGACCGCCGGACGGAACGGAACAGCCGGCGGGGGGACAGGCGACTTTCGCCCGCTGGTTCTTCTGAGCGAGGCGGTACTACTGACGCTCGGCTTCGGGCTTTTTGCCGGTAAGTCAGATGGATTCCTTATAGCTTATGTATAGCGTAATCATATCATTTTTGTTTGTTTGTAGGAATATTGTTTCTTTTTAGTTAAACGTTACTTAATGCAAGGATAGAAAATCATCTATCATCTACTTTACATGTCTGTTTTCATGTGACGTTAGTGTTCTATATGAGTCTAACTAGTACGAATGTTTGGCATATTGGTTAGTACTCCCACTTTTGAATTGTACTTTAGTAATTTCGGAGTTTAGAGCTACCTTCATGTTGTAGTAGTTTTGAGTTCGAATCTACCAGAAGGGGTTGTCGTCCCTCGAAGGATTTGCAGTAACCGCTGACCAAGACACGCATTAAGGTTGAGCGACAAAATTCGATGTGTGTATCCCTTAATTTGATTATCGGAATATGAAACAGGAAAGTGGGTGTAAGTTACTGACACGAGAGCCAAGAGCCGGCCACATGTAACGAAAAAGATTTAAAGGTGCGCCAAGAAATCCCACTGCACAAAACAAAGGACGTTAACTTTAGTTATATAATTATAAGAGACAACGTTCTTAAGAAAAACTGAAGCATTTGCGGACACATTTCATTACGGTATGTGATATGAGTTATAAAAAAGTTTGATATTTGACCATTTGTTTGGTTCGTTTAGCAAAACCTCGTTAGCTTGGAAGAATACAGTAAGCATCTTCCAGGTGGCTTTTGTAGAAAAAACCAAGCTCTGTCAATAATAGTGATTGACATATCTCCCTGGTAACATGACACCGTACAGGTCACCGTGCCCTGAACAGGGATTAAGTGACCCGGTTGATAGCTATGTGACCCGATGGACAGATAAGTGACCCGAGTAATGTTAGCTTCAGTGATCTGTGACTGGGGATCATTTCCTTTCAGGTGGAATCATTTTCGCTACAGGCTAGTTTTAAACTGAGCTACATTTCTCTGAAAGAACATCTTTGGCTTGTACAACGTGGAAACGTTGTAATGTAGACGTATATAAAAAGGGCACAGTTGCAAAAATCACTTTATTTCTTGTGCCCTAAGTAAGCTGCATTTTTTTCCACTATCAGACTTTGCCTCGTGGGACCCCCTGGGGCTCCCAGCTCTCTTGGGGTTCAGTGATTAGCTGACAAAGAAAGATATTTCCTGGGTGCCTCCCGGCCCCGCCCAGGGCCACTAAAAGGTAGCGCCGCAGTGGTTTAGCGCTAAGGAATTCTTTTCTAAGTGTAAACTGGGTCTTAATGATGATCACGACAGCCGGTGTCTTACCGACTTCAAAGCCCGTCCGTAGGCCCGTACGGGCAGTAATTATGTCCCGTAAGCCTTTCATATCAAGCATTATCTTCCACCTCCTTAACACCATTGTACCCACGGCGCTTACCTACACTGATGCACATGCCTTGTTGACAGAATCTACGTACATTATCTTAACCTCATAATGTTACGAAACTATCTATTTACACATGTTATAAACTCCACTGTGATAACGTTGTTGAAGGCATGGAGGTAGAATAGAGACCTCCTTGATGAAGGTTAGACATCCAGGTAAACCAATAATACTCGTAGGAAATTGAAACTCTACGGCTGAGATAATTTCCAGACTCCGAGTGACACCCTTCTTCAGCGTCACTAATGAACTAACAGAACACGTTACACAAGTCATGTGAGTGACTGGAAAAACCGGTTGAACATGACAAGGACTCATGTATTCATTATTATGTAAAGGAGTAAGATAGTTTCCATGGTAACATGGGAGCTGCTACTGTCCCTTACATTGCGGCAGGGCGGGGTCCTATGTACTAGAGAGCTCTACACGCAATTCTCCCTTCCTGTTTAAGGTGGGGTTGTAGATCCGTTCATAGATGGCATCCTTAACACCGCGCTCGTACCATCTTGGCTCACTGTAGCCTCCAGTTTGAAGGAATGTCCTTACTTTGTGGTTCTATATGTGTTATGGTAGATGGCAGATGAGTAGCCGCTTGCTGTGTATAGCAATGCTATACTTTGTAACATTACAGGGCTACAGCAAGCGTCGGTATTAGCTTTAAAACTTTAGCCATGGCATTTAAAATTCGTCACCTTTGTACAACATTACATCCAACTTCCACATAGTTGGATATTTTAATAGCATACTCTGTTTTGATTTATGGTTTTCTCAACCGAAATTACATACTTTATATGTAAAAGTCCTATCATTTGGCAATGTTTCATTTCAATATTTTATCATTTACTATTGAAATGACCTTACATAATTATATACTATATACACAGTGATGTTAACCTTTACATCGGTAACTAACTTAATATACGGCCTATATGAAGTTCCCATCATTTACCAAGAAACGAATTGTATGATTTTGCATTATGATCAGTTATGGAAATTAGGTCGTCATTTGCATAAGTATCTGTTAATGTTTTACCCGCCATAGATTAAGAGGTAGGGTCTAAAATTTCCTACCTTTGGTCAAATTTCGTACATTTCATCAGTTTAGTGGGCATCATGAATGAGAGGCCTGAGTGATGAGGTCTTGCCTGCCCAGGGCGGATGGATACACGAGACAATTAGGTCAAAAGAAGGGTTTGTTCACTGTTGTAAGCTGTTGTAGGAGTTTGAGCTGGTCAACCCCCTGTTTTCGTTCTATAGTTGGGAAGCAGACCCTTGTGCCTCTCTGTTGCAGAAAATGTTTGAGAATTGAATCGTGATAAAGTACTTTTACGAGGACTTGTTTCAGTGTATTTTAATAGCCATAGGTTTCTATGGCCAAAGGTAATTTTACTGTCTGCCCCAAACCCTCAGGTCTGGTAGCCTTCGCCTTCACGCTGGTGCGGAAACACGTGTACCATGACCAGGACGACTTGGACACCACGTTCGACGCGGGGGGTCAGGTGTCGGTGGGTCTGACGGCGACTACCATCGTGTCCCAGTGGACCTGGGCCGCCACGCTACTGCAGTCATGTACGGTGGCTAGTAAGGTACTTGGGATTTAATGCTTTTTACTTTCTTCTCCTGCTCTGTTAATTTGTAACAATTAGTTAAACCAACTCTATCCCATCGCATACTGATATTTGTGAGGCAAGAATGCGTTGTCGCTAACAGAAAACGGTTGCTTCTTACGTTCATTGGTGACTATTTCAATCGACTTTATGAGATGATGACGGAAATGTGCTAAGAAACGGCAGTAAATATCAATATCAGACTAGAATATGTTTTTCGCAGCCCTGAAATTGATTTCGATGCTTCAACGGAAGAGCAATATCTAGGAGCTCATTTGAAGTTCATTTTTAACGTGTTCCTCCTGTTCCGTCCCAGTTCGGCATCAGCGGCCCGTTCTGGTACGCCGCCGGCGCCTCCGTGCAGATCATCGTGTTCGCCATCTTGTCTATCGAGATGAAGATGAAGGCGCCTGGAGCTAAGACGTACCTGCAGGTACAAGACGGCTTTTTTAACGCTCTATTATTTCATAATGTAGTACGTGTACTAGAACCTACTTTGTACACCTGCCCTCACTTCTTCCCAACCTGGGCATCCCCACCTCACATTCGCGTCCCCATCTCTAACGCTCCTAAAGCGTAGTACGTCTTCTTGTCGTTTGTCTTCCGTTTCTGTATTTCGTACTGATATCCTTCCCTCTGTCACACAGTGTACTTCTACATGTATCTTTTTCTGTAAAAGTCGCTACTGCCATATCTCCTCAACTAGTATGAACGATAGAGCTACGATCCAACGTTAAACGCTAATAGTAGTCGCTCTCTATGGCCGCTATTTACCTCCAGGAAGGAAATATCCTTCCGCCGGATGGTACAGTTTTCGGTCGTGTTTGTGTGTTCGCAGCTATAACTCACGATGGGTTTGACTGATTTCTGTGACTGTTGGTATACATTTATAATAAGTCATCGGAGTCCTGACCATTGGTGACCAGTATATGCCTGCTACCATCACTTTGTTGACATTTGTTGTTTTTTTTTGTTTGTTTTTAGGTGATCAAAGCCCGGTTCGGCGCGAAGGCCCACCTGGTGTTCTGTGTGTTCGCTCTCCTGACCAATGTGCTGGTGACCGGGATGCTCCTGCTGGGAGGCATAGCCTCGATCACAGCCCTCGTCAACGGCCTCAGCACGGAGACCGCATCCATCTGCCTGGCCATTGTTATCGGTAAGTTATTCCGAGGCTTCCTATAATCAAGGCTATTGGTCTAAAGTCACTGTGTAAAATGCCAGTGTTAATAAATGCTATATATATATATAAGAAAGTCACATTGCCTCTGTATCAGCCTCCAAGGTCTGCTGTTTAGGGAGGTGGGCTTATTATATACATGTAATTAGTAGCTTTAGTAAATGTAGTAGCTTTCGAAGTCGCATGGATTGTAAATTTATATAATTATAATAAAACTGCCCCGGAAAAATATTTTCCGGATGTAAGTTATATATAAAAATACTTTGCTTTCGTTGTTGATGAATTACATTAATACAAATCTTAAGAGATCCTGACTCTAATACAAATGCGCTAAAAAAACTGCAAAAATATACCTCAATTTTCTATAATAAAAACGCATCACTACCACCGAATTTGCCCCCATCACCATAGACTGATACACTGCTTATTTCCTGTGCCCCATGCAGGTTCGTACACGCTGATTGGTGGACTCGGTGCGACCTTCTATGTCTCCTACTTCAACACAGCTTTGATCTTTACCGTGCTGATCATCATCATAGCAAAGGTTACTTTCTTTAAGAATGTGATAGTAATTAGGAATGGTTTTGAAAAGATAGGGCAAACCATCAACCAATATTTACATCGATGGAGGATATAATCCAGGTAATTAGACATAATCCAGGTAATTAGACAAACAAGAAAACTGCTTGTGGTTATGTTTAGCGATTTGATTTGATTACTCTTTTTAAATTGTTGTTTGTTTGTTTGTTTGTTTGTTTTGTTTCTATGTTTCTAGAGGAGCCGGCCTAGTAGAGGAACTCTATGTTCCTGTTGTCGGCTCCTCTCAGAATTTTCTGTAAAGTTGAATAAATAAATAAATGTCGGTTATGTAAAACAAACAAACAAACAAACAAATGTCCATGTGCTCTACAGGTGTATCTGGTGGGAGCAGACGCCACCCAGAACCCCCTGGGTAGCGCGGACGCCGTGTTTGACCTGCTGGCGTGCAGCAGTGGTCCGGCCGGTAACAGGGACCAGAGTTACCTCACCTTCTTCTCCACCGGAGGTCTGATGTTCGGCGTCATCAACATCATCGGCAACTTCGGAGCCGTCTTCTGTGACCAGGCGTACTGGCAGAGCACCATCGCGGCACGGCCTTTACAGGTAAGGCCTTTATTTCGTGGGAAACGAAACCTAACCTAACCCCAATCGTAAGTTTAACCCTGGCCCTGAACAATGATCTCAACTCTATCCCAAACCCTAACTCTAATACCAACCCTAATCCTAGCCTTAAACATCTCACTTATGTGGCAGCTCAAGGATTTGGCTCAACACTAAGCCTACAGTGCGATCAGTCGTCCTGCTCTTAATAGTACAATAGCACAGAACCAGTCGCCCTGCGTGCTCTTAATAGTACAATAGCACAAAACCGCTTGAGGCTAGTCACACAAGAAACACATGTCCCCTTTCCTTTCCCTTCATTTCGGAAGTGTAATTCTATGTTCTTGACACAAATGTTCGTCACCTTGACCTCCCGTTGTCTGTAGGGCGTGTGGGGGTTCATCTCCGGCGGGCTGACGTGGTTCGCCATCCCGTTCTCCATGGCCACCACCGTGGGGCTCGCCTACGTGGCGCTCGGCACGGTCAAGGGCGAGGCGCTGCTCTCAGGGGAGGACGTGGACAAAGGTAGGCAAGTCACATTTTGTGATGGAGTCTTTTTTATTGTATGAGTGTGAACCGGCTTTCAAGGTAGAAGAACAATTTTCGCCCTATGGGGATTTCTCCAGTTAAGGACCCCAAGGTGACTGACTTCGACGCGGTTGTAGTAGGGTACACTAAGTAGAGAAATACGAAAAGTATAATCAATATGAATTAATAATATATACGATATAATCTATAAACGAACTGAAAAATGTAATGCAAATCATGCATTCTGAAGGTCGGTATATTTCTTACCAAACATACTCTATCTAGCATCAAAACACGCCAAGAGACCAGTTTTTTTCAAGGAAGTAAAAGAAATAAAACTTTTATAAACCCTCCAGCTGCAAAATGTCAACAATTGGCAAGGTATGCCAAGAAAAAAGGCGGTTTGAAGTTAGTTTGGATGCTCTCACCAATTGTTAATCATAATGGTGTCCTTTGCCCTTCTTCCCAGGCCTGGTAGCCTCTGTGGTGGTGAACCAGCTGATGGGTCACACGGGTCAGGTCATCCTCCTGCTGATGCTGCTGATGGCAGTCATGTCCACAGGGTCAGCCGAGGTCATCGCAGTCACCTCAATCATCGTGTACGACATCTACAAGGACTACATCTGCCCATTCAGGAGGGTAAGTCACGTAATTGCCATTCACATGCTATCAAAATTTCCTGTAAATCTCTACATCATCAAAATAAAGAACGTTGACATCAAAGTTAGTTATTAACATTTTCCTTTCTAAATGTATTTTCTATCTTCTGTATCTGTATTGGTATAGCCGGTATAACCGCCCTTCGGCGTAACACACCAGCTTCGCAGGCTAACTATATCACACCGACTTGTTACACTCAATCTTTGCACACTAAGTTAATTGCTGGAGTTGTTTAAAGCTTTCTAGTGATGATGCCCGAACTGTGCCTGATGGCAACGAGTTCCACTCTACAATAGTTCTTGGGAAATACGAGTTTTTGAACACATCAATTCTTGATTAACAGTCAGCCAAAATTTGTGAGAAAGAGGATAGGATTCCGATCTTGCCGAGCAGCCGTCGTCACCTCTTCTTTGTCTATTGAGTCAGTCAGTTAGTCAAGCTTGCCTAAACCTGATGTTTCTGACGTAGGGAGAAGAGATGCTGCTTGTGCTGAGCACACTCGTTATAATAAGAATAACCAGGTAGTAGACAGATAGTTTTGTTTTAACCTTCATTCATGAGAAGCTCAAACTGGCCCGTTTGTCAGTCTGATATAGAATGATCACAAGTTTGCGTCCTGCAGGGCCTCGAAGAAGACGACTGTGTCCTTTGCGGCAACAAGAGAGAGAACGCCATCAGCGAAGCCGAGAAGTGCCTCTGTCATCCCATCTCCTCCTGCACAAAGTGCCACGAGGAGGACCGCCTGCGCACTCAGCAAGCCGACTTCTACCAGTACACCTGTCCCACGCACGCCGCCTACCGGAACTACATGGAAATGCTGCTGGGGAAGAAGAACATCTACATAGTGGTGGTTACCGTGGCAACGGTGCCTCTTGTGCTTCTCGCTGACGCGGCAGGTTCGTTTGTTTCATGCTTTACTTAGTTTGCTTGTTACCTGGGTGTGTTGATCGGTCACGATGATATGGTCAAATTTGGGCCCAAATATTCCATCCTTTTTATCGAACAGATATTCGATATGACGTCATTCGAATCAAATCATGTTCGATATGACGTCAATCGAACCACAGAGTTGAACCAAGGTTGGTTGTACCTGTTCATGGTTGTACTGATCGGGCTGAGTGTGTTTCCACAGGACTGAACCTGGGTTGGATTTATCTGTTCATGGGTGTGCTGATCGGGGCTGCAGTCATCCCTATCGGCATGGCGCTGTTCTGGTCGCGCACCACGGCGGGCGGGATGATTGCCGGGGCGACAATCGGCTGTGTGCGGGCGGTGATCTGCTGGCTCATCACCGCGGCCACCTTCCCGGGCGGACTCGGCGGAGGGAACTTCATCAAAAACACCGGTAAGCCACGGGAAGGAGTTTGGAGAAGTGGTGGTGTCCGAAAGAAAAAAAAAAGATTTTTTAACATTCCGAAGCAATAATCCTATGGGGTAAATATTACAAGCTAACAAGATTACAAGATAAACATTACTTTTTCCAATCTGATTTTTTCTGGTTCCACGTGGCTTGTTCCAAGGCTATTTTGAAACGTTTTGAGTGTGAAGTAATTACGAAAATTCACTAAGGAATGGCAGGAAATGTCAATATCAGACAGATTTCCACATCCAGAATATTTTTGTGTCGCCACAAGGAAATTGCAGTGAATTTTCTTAACAAAAATTGTGTTTTCTTTCCCAGGCGACCAGGTGAGCATGATCGTGGGTAACCTGGTGAGTATCCTGTCTGGAGGCGCGATCTGTGCCGTGGTGAGTGTCGTGCAGAGTCTCCGCAAGCCGAGCGGCGAGCTGGTGAAGGAGTGGGAGAAAACCCGCCGTGTGGACAACCCGCTAAAGCCTTGGGGACCCACCTACCAGGTTTGTATAACGTGCATGCTACACATGGCACATAGAGATTAACTTCTTGCACACTACACCCAAAGCGATTTCAAGGCAATAAAAATGTATTATCATAATTAGTCAATTTTTTTTTTCATTTTTAAATGTATTAAGTTAACGTTGAGTCTTGATTTCAAACAATAAAGGTGGACTCCTCACGTAGCTTGTTTTTGGGCTATTCCAAAACCTTGAAGTATAAAATGATAACGAAAATGTACTATGAATGGCAGTTAATGTCAATATCAGATAAATTTCCTTATTCAGAAGATAATTTGTTTAACCACCCTGACATTGCTTTGGTCTTTGGTCCGTACATACCAGATTATTAATAACGTACATGTTCCACACACATAAAATAGTTGCCAATAGATACTTTGCCGGGGCGTCTTCAGTAATTAAGAGTCTTTCTGTACAATGTGAATCTCATTTCTACGATAACTCGGTATACATCAGTCTTAGTTTTTTTGTAATACATGGTCTTTATTTTCATGATGATATTAAAAAAATGCATATCGCCCATTTCACCAGAGCGCCTACAAGATGACGTCAGCCAACAAGCTGAACGACCGCCCGTCCTTCGAGGAGATCCGCAGTTTCTGTCGAAAACCCCGGATGACCGCGTTGATTGCTGGGATAGTACTGAGCGTCGTTCTGGTCATTGTCTGGCCGGCCGGCATGTTGGGGGTAAGTGAAATTTCCTTTTTTTTTCAGTCCAGATCGACATTGAAACAGTGATAAGGCTATTCAGCATTTGCAGGAAAAGGAAAAGATAAATGTTTGTTTGTTTGTTTGATACAAAGGTGATAAAATGCCCCCCCCCCCCGTGGTGGCCATCTTTATTGTTGTCGCTCTTCTTTTTAAATGTAGTGAATGCGCTAAATGGTTTTCCTACAGCTGTAGAGGAAGGACATTATAATGTCCTTGTGGTAAAGAGATATTGTTATAATATATGCCGGATGCTGCTATAATGATGACTGCACTAGACCACGGCTTGAGCCAGACTGATCCCAGGGACACGAGGTCCCTGTCCTTTATTTGTCTTAATTGACACCAGATGTGACACAAGTCCTATTGGAGCGGGTCACCGCCTTCCCATACTTAATATACTGTAGATCGGAGCGGGTCACCGCCTTCCCATACTTAATACACTGTAGATCGGAGCGGGTCAACACCTTCCCATACTTAATATACTGTAGATCGGAGCGGGTCACCGCCTTCCCATACTTAATACACTGTAGATCGGAGCGCGGGTCACCACCTTCCCATACTTAATACACTGTAGATCGGAGCGGGTCACCGCCTTCCCATACTTAATACACTGTAGATCGGAGCGGGTCACCACCTTCCCGTACTTCATATCCGCCCACGGGCTTGTCCCCTGGGCTCGGAGGCGACCCGAGTCGCCCCTCCCGGTCCCCGCCGCCGACCCCGTGCCGCGGCCGCCCGGGCTACAATATCGGCATTGGTTGAAAGTGTCTTTAAGCTATTGTTGCTCGCGTCGTTACTAAATGTTTCATTTATTGTCTCAGGTGGGCGTTATGAACGGAGCAGAGTTCCAACACTGGGTGAACGTGTCCCAAACCTGGGCCTTCCTGGCAGCCGCCTTCCTCATCATCGTGCCGCTGGTGCAGGAGGTCATGTCCATCTATAACAACTACCGGGTCAACAAGGCCAACGGGAACGGTGACCCGGAAGTGATCATGAACGAGTCGGCTCCAGGATCCAACGGAGTCATGCCTCCCGATTCTTCAACAACTCGCCTCTGAAAAGTCGGCAAACTTTTCTTGATCTGATGAAGTATTATTCAGCATAGCAAAACAGTATAAAAATTATTAATGGAAGGTGTATGATTTCTTACTGCTAGGTCCTTGTATTGTGAATGTGGGATAAGGGTATTTTAACAATAGTATAGCATTTTTGCATTATTAAAGGTATTACTATTTTTATACTCTTCAACTACCTCAACTGTTAGAACCGCATTACGCCTGAACCTACCTCGAATATATCTATTCTGCCATAAATTATTATTACATAATGTATTTTTGATAAAAGTTCCTAAATGGTTAATGGTTCATAAACTTGACCGACGCAAATCTTCTTGACTATTGTCTGTCAAACCGTATTGTCAAAATCCTTAGTTTTGTGACTACTCAATGGTAAATGATCGCGCCTAAGAAGCATAATAACGATACTTGTATACTCGACGTCATTGACATTGCCTTCTGAAATAACTATGCCCCCAGTACTATCACGAACTGTAACTAGCTTGCCCTGCAGACACTATGAAACGAAAGACTCATTATTATATTACATACTTAAGTTATTATATTATATATTTAGGTCACTAGAGGTGGAATACTAAATCTACACTAAAATAGCGAGCACTATACTAAACAAATGACCCATGGCTCAGGGATGGAGGTACTTACGTGTTGTAGTTTTATATTGATTAAGAATATCTTTAGAATGTTAGCTATACTTTGTATTCTATTCAGTCAGAAAATTCTATAAGCTATCCAATACAACATTGTTCCTTTTATTATGTGGTGACAATAAAGGTATGTTTTTAATCTATATTCCTCTGATGTCAGAACTCTTCCAACCACTGAATTCGTCAGGCGTAATCAGGCCTTTTAGTCTTCATAATCCCTAGGCAGCCGCCAAAAGTCAAAGTAATTCGTAACAGTAACGCGTGATAGGTCGTTTTCATTTTACTTAAACTTAAAGCGTAGGCAGTTACCTTTATGCAGGCGCTTCCAATGTGATTTGGAGCGATCAGATGGGGCCACTTGAAATCAGCTTCGGCGGAAACCGCATGTAAAGCGTTTTTACCGATTTCGTCGACGTCTGAACAGGGCTGTACTTGTGAACCATATGCCTAATAGGTCCCCTACCCACTAGTAAGGTTGAAACAGTTGGTTCACCACAAAGAAAGATTTTTAAAAATCAAGATTGATCTTAATCATCATTTTTATGGTAATTTTCATTCAACCCGTAGCCCAATACCTAAAGGAGGGTTAGTAAATAACATTCTAAAAGTGTTAGGTTTTTGCCCTTAGAAAAATGGTATGGTCTCACTCATCGTGTCTATAAATAGTATTTAATTAGAATTCTTCTCACTTTGATTGCGTCAGCCAGAGTTCATATTCGCCGCCGGTGTCTGAGACGGTTAGGCGGAAAGTTTTCAAGCTCTCCCGTTTCCCTAATTAATCTTGTCTGGTACGTAGGGCTGACATTGAGTTGAAATCAAGATGACAGTCAAATACGGCGTGGCGGTGTTTCTGTTACTGTGTCTGGCGGTCGAGGTTCGGGGAGGATGCAATCGGACCGCCGGACGGAACGGGACAGCCGGCGCCGGGACAGGCGACTTTCGCCCGCTGGTTCTTCTGAGCGAGGCGGTACTACTGACGCTCGGCTTCGGGCTTTTTGCCGGTAAGTCAGATGTATTTAATTCCCTTATTGATAACGTACTCATTAACATTATTTTCAACTTCATAGGAATATTATCAATATTTAGTTAATCGCTATTTTATAATTACCGAAAGGATAGAAAGTCATATATGTTGTGCATGTCTATTACCACAAAGTTAAAGTGGTTTTGAGTTCCAATATGCATTATGTATTGAAAGGGGTTGCCGTCCCCCTGAGGGTTTGCGGTAACTGCGACCACAAGCCGACCCCTTTCTACCAGACGACGACCGCTGAGCAACAAAATTAGATTTGTGAGACCCATTTTAATTGGAAAATGATGCTGGATTTTTAAGTTTGATATGAGGTTCTTAAAACACACAAAAATGCGAAAAAATCGTTTCTTCGAATCAAGACGTTGGCAATCTGCCAAATCTTTGGTCACTCAGCGGTCCCAGCCTCTGGTGGAAGTACGGTAGGTTACTGACACGAGAGAAGCACGCACTGAGCACGTGAACGCTCACAGCCAGCCGGCCACATGTTGAAAAGATCAGAAAGGTGCAGCAGAAAATGTCAACTGCAGACAACCAAGGACGTTTGTATAAGAGACAACGTCCTTGACCAAAAAGAAAAGAAACAAAACTGCGGGCACATTTCAGTACGTATTGGCATCATCAGGGGGTAAATGGGGATAATGACCTTAGGCAGCGCAGCTACTCTCCCTCTGATACACGGTCGTTGCCATTTGAAACGCTGCCAAATCACAGAATAACAAACTTTACCTTTTAAGTAAGGCCATGTCAACACTGTGATTGTTCGTGGTGTAGGGGATTAGGGTTTTAGGATTGTGTTTTTACCCGGGTTCGAAGCCGAGCCTGTACATGTGCTTTCTGTTTTTTCACTATTATATTCATTTACTCGGTTTTCCTCAATGCTGTCGTGCATTTGCAATTGAAATGTAGCTTTTTACACATTTTAGATATTTTTACTCCTCAAAAAAGTTATGATACGCTTGGTTATGACATTCAGCGATCGTCGACTGGTTCAAATGTCAACGACCGTTTGCTAGACGGAAACAGGCCACGGCGAACGTTTACTAGAGTAATGGTGTGGTTGTGCACTATAAGTTTAATTCCACCTGAAAAATACCAATCTTTTAGCATAACTTTAGATCCTTTTACCCCTAAAATTAACTTAAAAAGTGAATTTCAATTGTTCTTGTAGCCAGAAGAATATCCATCATTCGTATACAATTTTTTTTCGCTTCAGAATTATTCCCTAGAAAAGACGGTTACTTAGCTTGAGGCCTAGGGTGAGCAAAATGGAACTGAGATATGCCCCCTCGAACAATTACTAGTATCCGCTTCTTTTAACAAGACCTCTCGCTAGTTTGTTGTTAACATCTCCTAGTATAAGCGACTGCAGCTAACACCTCCTAGGCGACTCTTGTAGCTAACTGCAGTTAACATATCCTAGGCGACTCTTGTAGAAGAAAACCACGACAGACATTCAACATAATGGGGACAAGTAAGTACAATGTAGTAATATGGAACCTGAGCGACCGTAAAGCGACCGTACAGCGACCAAGTCGTCAATAGTGATTTACAGCTAACGTCTAAGTGGTCTGAGATAACCTTTAGTGATAAGTTAATGACTATCATTGATCATCATTTTGTCTCAAATGGAGTCGTTGCTTTAAGACAAGCTCTTTCAAAGGTGACTGACAGCGAAGTGACCCGCGATAACCTCGAGTAATCAGTGAATAGGGATCATTTCATCTCAAGGTAGCAGAACAAAGTTTTCGCCCTTTGGGGATTTCTATAGTTTAAAAGTGACTCACTACGACACGGTGAAAAGTCATTATAGGGTAAACTATACTAGAAAGATATGAAGAACGAATATGTTTGAATTTAATGCACAACCTACAAAATATTGAGAAATCTACCAAATTCTATCAGCGTATCGGCTTTTGACACTATTTTTAAAATGGTGCCATGCGGAGGTCAGCTGAACTGCAGCCAACCCATCACACGCATACCCTGACTGGAAATCGCGATCGTCGCAATCCAAATCATACATTCTCAAACCAGACATCATGATTTCCTATATCATACCATTTACTCCTGGCTGACGCTCAAATAAGACTTTCTACTAATTCTTTTCTAATGTGTCCGTATTTTATACCTGCGTCATAGACCCTGCGGGTCGCCGATTAGTACTGTGTTTTGCGACCTTGGCATCCTGATAAAATCGCGCTCCTGGCGGCCAGCCCGCCACACGGTTGCGGCAGCAAGTAGCCTCTACCAGGCTTCGGGAGGCGGCTGGAAAGAGTAGAACTCGGCCAAATAGAGAGACAGCATGCCAAGGGAGTTTGGTCCTGGAGAGAACAGTTTGCCGCTCCCGAACTGTTCTCTCCAGGACCAAACCCCCTTGGCATGCTGTCTATCTTTTGGCTGGTTTCTACACTTTCCAGCTGCCTCCAGAAGCCTGGTAGAGGCTAGCAGCAAGAGCTTGAATGCGTAAACACAGACTACGGCACTGGCACAACAAACTGGGAGCGCCTCCGGTGTGGGCTGTTTTAGAGCAAACCATAAATGTCAGGAATGTGAGAAAATTCTACAAATATGTTGGGAAGTGGAAATAGATATTAATCACACGAATACTTCTTAAAAGAATATTTCAACTTTTTGTTAAAAAATGTTAAATGCTCATTTAAAAGTTGAATGTCAACAACTTTGACCCTTGACCAGCTGGGAAGTATTGTTCCGAAATTTCAGACTAAACACGACGTGTGCAGTATGATAATAGCAAACCGCCAACGATATAAAATACTACGGTTCAGTTCAATCATAGCCCTGTTTCTGGCGATACGAGGTTGTAGCCTCCTCAGCTGGCTTCTTGTAGCGGCGGCATTTATTTTGATTACTGTAGGGAGACTAATGCGCGTTTTTTTTACACGGGCTAAGGTTATCTAAAGCGCCAGAGGGAGTTATGCCACAATTGCATAACTCCCTCTGGCGTATTTAATACAGAGCCTGAGACTGTGTAAAATTTCATTGATCAACGGCCCTTTCCCCTCCAAAATCTTTTTTCTTATTTTTTATTACAACATTGACGTGGTGACGGCGGCACATTCAAAACTTTTTCAACCTATCTTTATGCCACCACCAACACAAAGGGACAATACAATACTGATCTTAACCTGAGTGAAGTGAAGATAGTCATGTAAAGCGACTTTAGGTTTTCCCAAGGGCACACGATTTGTTGCATGGCGGGGTTCGAACCCGGGACCTCAAGGTTGGGGGACGAACCATGTCTGTACCATTGCGCCACACGACCCCACAGTATCTACGACCGAGGCTACCCTTAGCTAGTGAAAAATTATCAGGAGACGAAATGGCTCGCGATCGACCTCTTCAAACAACTAAAACCATTTGATATCGTTGAAACCTCCAGGTCTGGTGGCCTTCGCCTTCACGCTGGTGCGGAAACACGTGTACCATGACCAGGACGACTTGGACACCACGTTCGACGCGGGGGGTCAGGTGTCGGTGGGTCTGACGGCGACTACCATCGTGTCCCAGTGGACCTGGGCCGCCACGTTACTGCAGTCATGTACAGTGGCTAGTAAGGTACTTGGGATTTAATTCTTTCCTCTTGTTTTCTTCTAGTGCTGATCATGAGAGCTGAAACCCATACAATAGCATGCTAAGCGGTTTATTGTCTCTTATCGTTATGTAATAATATCTTAGGTAATAAATATTTATTTGTGGTACAAAAAACAAGGACTCCTTGTGTAGCTTATTTTGGGGCCTATTTCGAAAATGTTCAAGTAAAAATGTCAAATAGTAAATGTTAATATCAGACAGATTTTAGCATCCAGAATACTCTTGTATTGCCGTCCAGAAATTGAAATCGATGCCTTTAAAAGAAGAGCAACATCGAACCTTTAATTACTAGGTTCATAGAAGCTCCTCATCTGTACCATGTCCCTCCTGTTCCGTCCCAGTTCGGCATCAGCGGCCCGTTCTGGTACGCCGCCGGCGCCTCCGTGCAGATCATCGTGTTCGCCATCTTGTCTATCGAGATGAAGATGAAGGCGCCTGGAGCTAAGACGTACCTGCAGGTACAAGACGTCTTTTTATCGTCTTACTTTGGTGTCCGTATGTCTGGTTGTGTGTGTGTTTCGGCGGCTGACACAAGGCCTTGCTGAGCCCAAGGTAAGGTTGTCATTGGGAAATTTCACAAGGCGGTTGCCCTAAAGGTCGGAGTGTCAACAATGACAAGGCTATATAACAGACGAAAAATACGTGCTGAGCTGTCGAGCTGAATTGAATTAAATGTTCACATACATGTCGAGCTGAATTGAATTAAATGTTCACATACATCTGATTCTTCTCGGGTCACCACTACTACTACACTCTTCCCCTCCAATTCAAGCTGAGAAGACCATAAATTGAATTGAAATATCGCTCGCTGGTTGCAACTTTATTTCCATAATCGTTCAGTACAGAAAAGAGTCACCAGCGATTGATCACTAGCGATTTCTCTAGTTGACTGTTTTTAGTATCTTTGCCTTTTGTTATAAATGACCAGTGTCGTCCAGAGACCCGTGTGTTTTTCACGCATCGGCCCTTGATGACTCGTATCTCTCGGTCAACGCATTTTCAATTTTGTTTGTTTGTTTGTTTGTTTTTAGGTGATCAAAGCCCGGTTCGGCGCGAAGGCCCACGTGGTGTTCTGTGTGTTCGCTCTCCTAACCAACGTGCTGGTGACGGGAATGCTCCTGCTGGGAGGCATAGCCTCGATCACAGCCCTCGTCAACGGCCTCAGCACGGAGACCGCATCCATCTGCCTGGCCATTGTTATTGGTAAGTTCTTGCGAGGCCTGCAGCATATGCTATAGGTCTATATTCAATGTGTGACATGGCTTTCAAAGTACAGTGTAATTAGTAACCATGCCTCTAAATTAGACGTTTATAAAATATGCTACTCATAACATCCTCCTAGGTCTACATAGGAAGGTGGGTTATAGCTTTGTAAAGTATGATGGGGTGATAATTATATTTTTCAAAATGTTTTGGAATACAACACGCTTAAAAGCGTGTTCTATTCCAAAACATGATTTGGAATACAACAGAGTGGAATGCATTCCAAAACATGGTCCATTCAATATATAATTGGAATAAAGCTCCTCCTTTACGCATCCAAATGGCGCGGGTGGAATTTTCCGGATGGGTTGATGCATGTTGACTATCCGGATCCGTCTCGGCCTTTTTAGGGAAGCCAATAATCAAGTACGCCTTTTTTGGGAGGTCAATAACCAAGAACGCTAACATCAAACATACAACAGATTTCGTAAAGCAAATGGGCCCACCCGATGCTTTATGATTTAAACCTACCGACTTCAAGTTTACAATGCTGCTGAAAGTAAGTCTGAATATACAGGGATATTAGAAAATGATAAAAAAGATGATTTTTCTTATCGTCGTCGTTGCTGTTGATATCCTTAAACTATCAATTATCTACAGAGATCCTGTATCTATTACAAATACGCAAAACCAAACTGCAAAATAATATCTCCATCTTCCATGAAAACGGAATACTATCACTATTACTATCATCGAATTTGAAGTTACGTCCATCTCCATAGACTATTGTATACACTGCTAAGGCCATGTTGATTTGATTATATGGATGACGTCCTCCGGGAACCCCAAAATTGATGCGCGCGTGCGAATAAAAAAAAAGTTTTGCAAAAAAAAGTTGTTTTCATTATGAGATCTACGTGGTCATGAGGGTTGAACAAATGGGACAGAATATGATTTGGCGAATAATCTAGTCTTCAAGTTCATTTCTTTACAATTTCGTCTTTTTCGTTTGATTTTGGCAATCTACGACATTGGTATGGTTTTTTTTGTAACTTACGGTATATTTTTGCTCATTTTGCAACTGTTTTGTACGATTTACAGTATGGTTGAAAACTTTTTTTTTTGAAACGGCCGAAAATTCATGCGCGCGTGGATGTCATCCATATAATCAAATCAACATGGCCTAACTAGTATTTCCTGTACCCCATGCAGGTTCGTACACGCTGATTGGTGGACTCGGTGCGACCTTCTATGTCTCCTACTTCAACACAGCTTTGATCTTCACCGTGCTGATCATCATCATAGCAAAGGTTAGGTTTTTTTCAGAATATACTTTGACTTAGCAATGATTTTGAAATAAAATAAAAAGTTAAAGCGATACTATGTAAGATTTTTTTCCAAAACTGTAAGTATGAATAATTGAAATTTTCTCATCTAGATTGTTGCTTCCGATAACTTTGAACATATTAGCGTCGCTATTTTTGCTTTTCCGGCGACTCAGCGCAGCACGAGAATAAGTTGCGCTAGGCCCGCTGTACTTTAGGAGGCTTCTAAAACTAATGTAAACAGCGATTTTTGTTAGAATCTTCGATCGATCGATCGGCAGCTTCCAACCCTTTTTGCGGCGCAACGACGTTAATCTTTTACTCCCCTAATGTCATTATGAATCCAGGTAGGCTTACAGGGCAAGAAAATGTGTAAAATAGTGCAAATAAAAAGGGATTCGAAACACGGTCGATTTAGTACGTGGCGTGACGGCTGTTTTTCAATTGGCATTACGATATAGATTAGATCTGTATGAGTCTAGCCAATGATTTGAACACATAGAAAACAAATTAATCTGATGAGACGCTATTCTCGGACCTCGGCCTCCTTTTTAAACTCTAAAATGTACATGTATTGCAGACAGAAATTTGATCAAATGAGTCTGCTTGATCCGAAACGAAAGGTCCTGCGTCTTGTGATGTCTTAATTTTAAAAACGCATGTCTCGGACATACTCGGACATTCATTTCATCACGTTATACCAAATCGGGAAATCTAGCCAGGCGCGAGAAAACAGGCGGATCAACTCTTTAAAATGAGAGACGTGTTAAGGATAGAACGATAAATCAGCTAACAGTATGTTAGTGTCGTCGCAAATCAAGATCTAAAATTACCACTCATTTCTACCAAGAAAGTCCTTGTTTCTACGTAACAAAGGTACCGTTTTATTGGCTGATTTGCAGAAATCCCATACATTTTTGGCAACGCCTGAGGAACGTAAGCATTTGCAAAAATGTATTTTCATGTGCCCATGATAATCTACAATATTATTAACGTGCTAAGGCCACACCGACGTAATTTGATGGATGACATCCGCGCACGCATTGATTTTCGCCTGTTCTAAGAAAAAATCACGTCCTCCGAGTCTCTGAGGCTATAGACCTGGGTAGTCCATGGTAGTTAGCGACAATACGGAGCCGATGGTAACTCCGGAGGAAGGCATCCAGGCTGCCGAAGCTTCAGTGTCGATTCATAAATTCCGCAAAAAGCCAGCATGTGCCGGGTTGTCGTATATGTCGCTATGTACTGCCACAAACTCACAATACCAGTTTTGTATTCCTGTGGTTTAGTAGCATTTTTATTTTTGGCCGGAATTTTTTTTTTATTCGCCCGCGTGCACTAGTTTGGGGGTCTTCAGACGATGTCATCCATAAAATTAAGGCGGTGTGGCCTAAACTGGAACCGAAAAAAAATGAAGGGGCAGCGAGAGATGCTGAAAACTACCTTCAGCCTGTTTCCATCATATAACGACCAAGATTTCAAGGATCAGTAGTGTGGTAATATAGTAACAGTGTTATTTTCGCCATTAATTACTACCAGTTGTCCTCCTGGCGCTACTGCCACACTGTCGGCAAAGAACAAACCAGAAGCGGCTGTGCGAACGTACCGCCCGTCCTTTGTAAACAGTTCCACTTTCCCACCGAGCCCGTCTGCTACAAGAATGTTATCAGAACTGTCCGTACAGATTCCCGTCACTTCTTTTAGCCTCTCATCACCTCCAAACTTGAACAGATAATTGCCGGTTTCGTTGTACACATACACATAAACGTTTGCCCAGTAGTCGGTCATGAAAATGTTTCCATTTTGTCCTACAGCGACCGCTCCAACGTGCTCCAAACCTTGCTGCACCCTGAACTTGCGAACAGCCGTGCCGTTTAAATGCAAAACCTTTACAACTGAATAGTCAGACCAAGCTTCTGTGACTACCACATGACTGCGAAGTGCGTCCACTGCGATGCCATAGAAACTATTAGAGGTCTGGGTAGGATAAAGTGTTGTTATGTGATGTCCTGTATTTGTGTACCGAACAATGCGTCCTGATGCCGACAGGCTACAGTCACCAATCAGCCATAGATAGCCATTCCCGTCAATGGTAATGCCTTTAGGTACAATCAACTCGCACTCCTTGTCTGACGTGATGGTGGGGAAGTCTCGAAGGTAAACGCCCTTCATGCTGAATACCTGAACCCGGGCGTCAGAGTTCTCACATACGAATATCTCGTTGCTAGGCGACACCGCAACATTGCCCTCTCCTGTTCCACCGAAGACAATTGTCGTTTTTTCCACCTCGTCAGTTCCTTTTCCTGAGAGGGAGCGAGATCAAAATTTTGATCAATCTACTGAAGGCAATGGTGCTAACTTAGTGCAGTACAGTGTTTAGTTAAACCTAATTTGAAGTAAGAATAAGAGAATATGTTATTTTCCTGAGCTGATACAACTTAGTAACTTATAAGCTAATTGTTTCTTCTCCCCGTACTGCTACCTTGCTAATAGTATAAGCTTGTTTATTTTAATACAGAGACTCCCATCCAAGGCGTTTGCATGTATGTCCAAGGCGTGTCTATGTGCATTACCTTCAGTGTTGGTTGGATGAGATGACGTGTAGTTCACATGCCGGTCTGTAGTTTTATCTGTGAAAGCATTTAGTATTGATATTAGTCGATCTGCTAAAAGCAAAAATGTTAACTCAGTTTAGTGCGACGTTTTGTAAGTTACAAGAATATATGGATATTATTTTCCTGAGCAGGCACAACTATATATATAAAATATATATATGCAAAGTCCATATTACCTTCAGTGCTGGTTGGTTGAGGTGACGTGTTGTCCACATGTCGGATTCCATCCGTTTGGTCTGTAAAAGTGAGGTCCGGTCCTGTCTGAGACAACAACAAAAGAGCTGTTTAGAAAAAAACGCGAGCGGCGACGATCCAAAGCCAATGTATCTCACCGAAGAGCTACTTTTTCACTGACAGGGAGAACTGGCGCTAATGATGTACAGTGCACCATACATGATTGTATACAATGTCAGAATAAATGATGGGGGACCCCCCCCCGTGTTTTGATAGGCCGGTAATAGTTGACCACTACTTAATACCCCGCTCCAGGTACGTGCATGTTGGGTTTAAGGACTTTACGTCCGGAGGCAGGGCCTCTAACCACTGGACCACACACACTACAATTGACAATGGAATTACTTGTGACCTAAGTAAACGCGTACACAACGTCACCACTATATTTACGGAAATACAAATGATAACAAGTAACAATAATAACCATGATGGATAATATCCTTTTAGTTTAAAACACATCAAAAAGTACAACTCACTGTTGCCCCAAAACTGTCTTGCTTCAAATTCCCTGGTATGAATGCTCCAATGAGAGCTACAGAACTAACCAGTATCACCACGATCACACCTGTAGTGATGACGCGCAAAGGATCTGGAAAACAAAACAAAAAAGAACACCTGTTCTAAATTACACGGCACGAAATGTTGTCTATACTACCTCCTCCCTTCTAGGAAAAAATACAGCCATGCCATATCATCTTGAGCAAAACGTCTACGAATTCGAACCATTCAATTCCCAAACTACTGGTGAAAACACAAACTGCTCGATAGCTCTAGGTGTTAAAGTAGGTGTTCTAAGCCGCCTGTACCATATACTGGTACTGTACACTGCAATTAACAGTAATAAACATACATGTTAGAAAAAGGGATGGGTGTGTTCCCAATTGACTATTAGCAGAGTAATGTATGTCAGTATAACGTATCTTACCTCCACATGCCCGTGTTTGTGCATCATTTGGAACGTACATAGGGTTGGGATGCAACGCGTTACCACTGTACATAGGGTTGGGATGTAACGCGTTACCACTGTACATAGGGTTGGGATGTAACGCGTTACCATTATCAGGGTTGGGACGTAGTTCATCGCCCCCATTGCCAACAGCATGGCCGGTAGATGTTTGGTTTTCATAATAATGTTCTTGATCATCGTCATAAGCAACGGCGTATGGCTGGACATCGGGGAAAACATCCCCTTGCTCGTCATGCGTCCTGCTGTGACCGTACTGATCATACGCCACTGCATATGGACAGATACACTCCTCAGCAGACATGACTTCACCACTGTCTGTTGTGTGACTAGAGTGACTTGAGTTTTCCACATCCTTCAACTGTTTAACGACAGTTTCCGTTTGAATGTCCCTATGGTCGATCTCTTCTGGTTCACTGTTTGTATCACAGATCCCGACATCTGGTCTGTCCATACAGGCATCGTCGGCATCTCGACCGGACTGATAGACAGTGGCTGGTGTTTCTCTGTGACAGGTGTCCGACAGTCGGTGTTGCACGACGCTCTGTGCGTTATGACCGTCAATATCATAGATGTCTTTTGACGGAGATTCTTCTGCGTCTACGAGTGGATTATCAACATAAAGTGTTTGATTCTGTTCAGTTTTTCCGACGTTTGTATAAGAATCACAACTTGCCTGTAGAGATGAATGTTCTCTACCGCTGTCAGTGCTGAAATCCGGTCCGTCATCTTGATCAGAGTGGACGTCCTGTAACCGTTTTTCGAAGTTTACGGGTGAGATGTCCGTTTGTAACGGGTCTTCCACGTGTCCTGGTGAGATGTCCGGGTCTTCCATGTGTCCGGCTGAGATATCTGTTTGTCGATCTAAACTGGTTCTGTACTGGCGGAGCTGGGGGTTGAATATCATGTAGAACTACAGGTTCTGCTGTAGAGACAGGGTGAGATAGGCCGGTTTGTGTCTCCTGTATGTTAGCGGGTATTTCACACCCGGTGCCTCAGTCAGAGTCGTCAGCAGTTACTGGATCCATCAGAAAACTGAGTCAGAGCTGAATGCTTTTCTACTACTGCTCTTCTCTTGACAGAAGCTGATCAGGAATTTTAGTCTTACTGGTTTGTGGTTCTGTGGTACAACTGTTCGTCTGAACTACTTGTGGCCATATATATTGTTGTTGAACAATCAAACTAGTCCACAGACAATCGTTTCACGAAATTAACAAGCGGTTTGTCGACCTAGATAGATTCAGATTAGTCTGGCCTATTTTTACAACCTTACAACGCAGATTAATAGAATTACAAAAACCAATTCATGGCAAAAGATTTCGGACAGAGGATTCCAATTGCGAATCAGTGCATAGATCTTGTGATAACGCAGATTTACTGACAGGTCAAGACGTTAGTCTGCCACAGCTATTTATATGAAAAATGTTATAACGAGTTTCACTCGCCTTTTCCACCCTAAAACGTATTTCATTCCCCAAGCTACCATATCAGCCTTATCTATTGGGAGAAGCACGTCCTTCTTATTTGAGAACGTGGAACAATCGATGTACGCGCGGATGACATCCATAATTTCAAGTCGTCCTGTCCTTCAGGCCTTAGAAGCAGAATTCTAGAAATAAACTGGAAAAACAGCGCGTAAACCCAATAAGAAACCATATTTATGGCCCTTGTTTATTGCGTTTAGGTTGTCATTGTCAGGATCTAGGAAGTTACTCGCTTAAATCTACTACATAACCAAGTTGTTAAACCATGAAAGCTTTTGATTGTATCATGACCCATAACTACCCATAACTTGTTAACAATAGTGTTTATTGCATATTCCTGTTTAAGCTGTATATGTGCTTTTACAGTCTAAAGTAGAACTTTTGAATTAGAAATATTTCAGATCATTCAGTCATAAAGCTGCCATAACTAAGATTATGGAGGCCATCTATGCTAACCCTGCCTATTTGCCCCACACTACAGGTGTATCTGGTGGGAGCAGACGCCACCCAGAACCCCCTGGGTAGCGCGGACGCCGTGTTTGACCTGCTGGCGTGCAGCAGTGGTCCGGCCGGTAACAGGGACCAGAGTTACCTCACCTTCTTCTCCACCGGAGGTCTGATGTTCGGCGTCATCAACATCATCGGCAACTTCGGAGCCGTCTTCTGTGACCAGGCGTACTGGCAGAGCACCATCGCGGCACGGCCTTTACAGGTAAGGTGTTTTACGGCATTTATTTCGGCACGGCCTGGAATGGTTATAAGTCAATATACGTTAGAAACCACCACATATATCGGTTAGTGTCATCAAAATGATTCGACAACTTCGGAGCGGTCTTCTGTGACCAGGCGTACTGGCAGAGCACCATCGCGGCACGGCCTTTACAGGTAAGGTGTTTTACGACGTTTGTTTCAGCATCTGAAATGATAACTAGATAAGTTAATTTCAAATATTTTAATATACAACTTACCGCATATATTAGCAAAGCCCCTGTCACACATAACCGAACATTGCCTCCCAAACACTGGCCGTACTCACCCAGCCATGGTTAGGAGTAGGTTGGGGCGTGTTTCCATATGATTCGCAAATTCGAGAATTGGTCATGACCTTATAAGTCTGACAATTTTATTTGGGTAATGAATGATTGAATAGCAAAGTTCTTTATTTACAATCACTTGCTTCGTTTTGATAAACGTCTGTCGTCTTCACCATTACTTTACGTCTGGGACTTCATTATCAGCAGTAGCACCCAGATTCAGTGCAGAGTGAACCTGTCATAATTGTCATGATAAAGATGACAGGCAGTCATCGAAACGTTGCCTCTCGTTAAACAAGTGATACTGAGTAAAAAAAAAACTTTGCTATTTAGTGTAATGCTATGTTTTTGCCCATTGGACATAAACACTCAACACCATGACCTCCCGTTGTCTGTAGGGCGTGTGGGGGTTCATCTCCGGCGGGCTGACGTGGTTCGCCATCCCGTTCTCCATGGCCACCACCGTGGGGCTCGCCTACGTGGCGCTCGGCACGGTCAAGGGCGAGGCACTGCTCTCAGGGGAGGACGTGGACAAAGGTGGGCAAGTCTCTTTTGTGCAACTCCAGTGTCTCTAACTAAAGTATCGCTTGGTTTCCACATACATGTACAGATGAAACTATTTCTTGCTTGGCTCGGCAGCAATGCCCAGCAAAATTGACTTCACTTACTTCAATACATTGTTTTCAGAGTGGAATATTCAAATGTTTCCAAAATATGTTCTCTGCCCTGCGCAAATGTTTTGTGTAGGTCCTATCCAATCTGTTTTGAAGCTAACACGTAAGCGTTTAGGTTTCTGGGTCTGTACCGTACAACAGTATCAGTTCTACAAGGATAAGAGAAAACAACTTGGATCTCCGATTTGTTACGGTGTTGGGAGTTTTTTTAACAACTAAATTAGATTTATCATACCACCAGTTGCAGTCAGGTCTTTCTGATTCCTAGCTCTGCAATCTATTCTAAGCATGTAACATCGGCACTACTTCTAACACGTCACGTCTCGCTCTCGTCCCCAGGGCTGGTTGCCTCTGTGGTGGTGAACCAGCTGATGGGTCACACGGGTCAGGTCATCCTCCTGCTGATGCTGCTGATGGCAGTCATGTCCACAGGGTCAGCCGAGGTCATCGCAGTCACCTCAATCATCGTGTACGACATCTACAAGGACTACATCTGCCCCTTCAGGAGGGTGAGTCAGGAGACGTTTTGAAACTATGCAAGCTATCGAAATATCCTAATCTCTTGTCTCATATGCATCCCAAATAGTTCCAATTATTTTTTTTCAGTGTTTTTGTGCTTTGTCTTTTTTATCATACTTTTCGTTCCATAAGACTGCCAGGCCGGGCTCCGGTTTGGAAATGTGACCTCAGCAATAATCAACCGTTTAGGGCACCGCAGATGGACCCTTCTCGATTTCAATTCCTCTTGTAAAAATTGTGATAGAATCCGAGAATCGAAAGAGTCTGAAACAGATTCCGAAATATGAATAAACAGATAGTAGACAGATAGACTAACCTTTGTTTGAACCTTTGTTTATTCTTGAGAATCTTGAATCACCCTGTGGGCCTCATGAAATTATAACAAGAAATGTGCGTCCTACAGGACCTCCATGAAGACGACTGTGTCCTTTGCGGGAAGAAGAGAGAGAACGCCATCAGCGAGGCCGAGAAGTGCCTCTGTCATCCCATCTCCTCCTGCACAAAGTGCCACGAGGAGGACCGCCTGCGCACTCAGCAAGCCGACTTCTACCACTTCTACCTGCCCCACGCACGCCGCCTACCGGAACTACATGGAAATGCTGCTGGGGAAGAAGAACATCTACATAGTGGTGGTTACCGTGGCAACGGTTCCCCTTGTGCTTCTCGCTGATGCGGCAGGTTTGTTTGTTACCTCCGGGGGAGGAGACATCCTTCCGCGGAAGGGTTTTGTGAGAGATTTAGATTTTCATGTTCGCAGCTGTTTCTAGCGTTTGGGTGGACGGATTCTTTTGAGACTCGGTATATGTTTTGCTATTGGGCTGCAGATAGTGCACGTTCTTTTGTTTTTATTGTATATGTGTTTTCGGGCGTGAAAATGGTGCCTTTTGGTGGCCCCAGAACACCCCTTTGAGCGTGAAAGTGGTCGCAACCGTTGACCTTTGGCGTGTATTAGGTATTGTCGGTCTCGTCCACGAAGGGTGACCCCTCGCACAAAGGGGTGTCCGGTCTCGATAAATTCTTTGTTTAAAACCCTAGTCCTGCGGCGCGCAACAATTGTTGTTGTTGTTGTTGTTGTAAACAACATATAAAGATATACAATAAAAAGCCCGGAGGTATAAAATCTCAGATTTTACTTGTTTAATGTTTTATTTAGTTTGTTACCTGGGTGTGTTGATTGGTCTTAAGTGTTGAATATGTTTTCCACAGGGTTAAACCTGGGTTGGTTGTACCTGTTCATGGGTGTACTGATCGGGGCTGCAGTCATCCCTATCGGCATGGCGCTGTTCTGGTCGCGCACCACGGCGGGCGGGATGATTGCCGGGGCGACAATCGGCTGTGTGCTGGCGGTGATCTGCTGGCTCATCACCGCGGCCACCTTCCCGGGCGGACTCGGCGGAGGGAACTTCATCAAAAACACCGGTTAGTCATAGTTACAAATTTGGTGAAACGGTTGTGTCCAAACGAAAACACAGGTAAAACCCATACTTGATGAGTATTATGTCTGGAGGTGCAATGTTTTCATAGATAATATTTCAAGCTCATTGAGCATTTCAGATTCCGTTTTAGCCTTCCAATGCAACAGTTCTATGGGGGTAATTACCATAATGTCCTCTTATTTCTTACAGATGGCAAGAAGAGCTGATCGTTGTGTTTTTTTTTTAAATCTAAATGCTTCTTCTCGGTGCCTATCCTCTCTATATATATAACAACAGGTTGGTTAACGACGAATAACCCTTGTCCTGCTGGCAATGATTATATACTCCCTCTCCGTGCTGAAGATTTTAGACCCTCTTTTAGGAAAGGCTACTGTTTTTACTTGGCTAGTTTTATTTACGTTTAAGTTACGCTACGATGTTATGCATCAACGAAAAGTTATGAGTCTGTACTTTTTGAAAATGTTGGTTTCTCGTTTCCAGGCGACCAGGTGAGCATGATCGTGGGTAACCTGGTGAGTATCCTGTCTGGAGGCGCGATCTGTGCCGTGGTGAGCGTCGTGCAGAGTCTCCGCAAGCCGAGCGGCGAGCTGGTGAAAGAGTGGGAGAAAACCCGCCGTGTGGACAACCCGCTAAAGCCTTGGGGACCCACCTACCAGGTTTGTATAACGTGCATGCTACACAAGATACATAGAGAAGGCTGGTTGTAGCTGTTTATCGGTAGTACCAAAAAATAGAGGGGCTCATCACGTAGCTTGTTTGTGGGCTTCAGGCATAAAATGAACAAAAATGTGCTAAGCAATTGCAATGGCAGTTAATATCAATATCAGACAGATATTCCACATGAAATGCTTAGTTGTTACCAGTAGATACAAGGTGAATTTCATTTCTAAGATAAATCGGTATACATCATTATTTTCTGGTAGTACATTTTACTTATTATGCAGAGATTTAAAAAAAAGATTGTTACCCATTTCACCAGAGCGCCTACAAGATGACGTCAGCCAACAAGCTGAACGACCGCCCGTCCTTTGAGGAGATCCGCCGCTTCTGCCGAAAACCCCGGATGACCGCGCTGATTGCTGGGATAGTACTGAGTGTCGTTCTGGTCATTATCTGGCCCGCCGGCATGTTGGGGGTGAGTGAAATTTCCGTTTCTTTTATTATCTTGAAAAGGCTATATTTTTTCGCTCTTGATAGAGGGCATGCCGGCAGTATAAGATGCTTTTACTGATCTGTATCTGTATAGCCGGTATAACCGCCTTTCGGCGTAACACACCAGCTTCGCAGGCACGCGGCGTGGCGGCAGCTGGCTATATTACACCCATCGACTTGTTACACCTAGCCCTTGAACTGCATGATGCTGCATGTACATGTGAATTAATTTAGCTTTGAAGGTTTTGTAGTTGTCAATAGTTATCACTTTAAAGATTGAAAGAATACTCTACATCTGCCATTTTCACACTGCTTCTTATACCGTTGTTAAATGCTTATGAAATTCATGCATTATTTATAAACGTTGTTCCGATATTTGAATAGCATATCCTAAATTTAAACCGCTAGTTGTGTTCTTCCTTGATTTTTGACAATTGATTTTATTACTAATTTATCATGAAGATGTTGATATTTTACCGTCAAAGTTAAGAGTTATGAGCATGGAATCAGAATGTCTTAAACATGTTGTGCTGTGTTTTATCAGTGTTATCTGTTTTGGAGTCTTTGTTCCAAAGGTAAAAGTCCCTCCCTCGTGGTGGGCATCTCTTCACCTGTAACAAGAAACAGGAATTAGGTGAAGGAGCACGTGTTTAATTGTTGTCGTTGTTACTCTCATAGTTACTAAATGTTTTATTCGTTGTCTCAGGTGGGCGTTATGAACGGAGCCGAGTTCCAACACTGGGTGAACGTGTCCCAAACCTGGGCCTTCCTGGCAGCCGCCTTCCTCATCATCGTGCCGCTGGTGCAGGAGGTCATGTCCATCTACAACAACTACCGGGTCAACAAGGCCAACGGAAACGCTGACCCGGAAGTGAACGGGACTGTCGTCGGTTCCAACGGAGTCAATCCTCCTAATGCTTCATTTACAACTCGTCTGTGAAAAGTCGATAAACTTTTGATTATTAATATGAATTATTCTTAAGCCCAAAAGTATTTAAAAAGTAGTTTCAAATTATGAAAGGTGTACTTTTCCTATGGCAGGTCCTAGTATTGTCGATGTGAACTGAGGGTATTTTAACTATAGTATAGAATTTTGGTATAATTAAAGGCATTGCTATTTTCATATTAACTGTTTAACTAGCTAGTTTGAACACAAGGCATTCCATACTTCATAATACCTTAACTGTTAGAGGCACATTACGTCTGGCTTTAAACATACAAACCTCTTATCCATGTCTATCTAGTCTTCCATGAATTACACACCATTGAACAATGTACTAGTAAGACTTAGATATTTAAATGTTAGATCTAACAAGTTGTTCGGTGTAATGTAGCTAGCTGCCGCCACGCCGTGTGCCTGCGAAGCTGGTGTGTTACACAGAAGGGCGATTATACCGGCTATACAGATACAGATGTAAATGCTACATAGTGCGTGGGTAGCATAGACCTCTAGTAGCCAGTGTGACAAAAGAGTACGCGGCCTTGCGAGTATCAGTGCTTGATCTCCCTGTTGTCAGTGAATAAGGTTAATAGTTACCGCTCAGTGGGCGGCCGGGTTCCGCTGGGATTTTACGCAACATGATTTCTGCAGCTGGGAGTTTTGAGATAAGAATGTGAATAAGACTACGTAACTCCGTCTGCTTGTAAGGTGAAGGTAACACTAAAAAGATATAAACTTTTTTTCTTTGAAGTCCTTGAAGTCATATGTGTGTTACTAAGTGAGTGTTAGTTTGTGTTTGTGTGTGTATCTTAGTGTGTGTATGTGTGTTAGTGTGTGTGTGTGTGGTTATGTGATTGTGTGATTGTATGATTGTGTGTGTGCGTGCGCGTGTTTGTGTGTTTGTGTGTGTGTGTGTGTGTGTGTGTGTGTGTTTGTGTGTGTGTGTGTGTGTGTGCGTGCGCGTGTGTTTGTGTGCGTGCGTGCGTATGCGTGCGTGCGTGCATGTGTGTGTGTGTGTGAACATATGTCTGTAAACAGCAAAAGTTGTGGATGAATTCGTATAATATATATTTTGATATTTTAGAAGGTGTTGGCAGTTTACATTAATTTTCTAACAGAGAATTCATACAGATTATGCTATGTAATTACGCCAGTAATTTCTACGTTCAGGAATAGCACCTCTTCTACTTATTTTACATTTGAAGTGAATCACAAATTTCTATGATAGGCTCGGTGTCGGCATATCGTACTTTCCTTGACCTTCCCAACTAATGGATCCGTCTCGTCTGAAATATCACTGCCATCACACGGCGGCCTGTTGCTGTCCCATGGCCCGCTGTAAATACCATCAGCGGCGGGGTCTCCGGAGAAACCTTTCTCCCACAGAGCTGTTATTATGCATGGTGTTTACAGGTGACGCAGCCTGTTTCATCTAAAGGCTGCAATTTGTAACATTTTTAGGCAAAAAATCAATATTTTATGTGTCATTTACTATCACTTTGCAACATATTTGTGCAGTATCTCACATTTTTGACATTTATGATTGGCGCTGAAACAGTTCACAAGAGGGGCTCTTATTTTGTGTCACCACCACAAAGTCAACAAATATGACACCTGCGTTTCCAGTTTTTTTTTTTTGTAAATACACACGCACGACGTAATATTTTGACACCTCCACTTCCCAAATGACATAATGTGCAATGCCGGCCGGGGTTGATTCTACTTGATTTGTGTAGAAATTGACAGAAAACTTACTCTTTGTATAATTCTAATGTAGCTTTGAGGCCAAATGTACATAATGTATGGGGGATATCGCGTATAGACTAAATCTGATGCGAGAGAGGGGCGAATAATACTCTCCAAGAAGAGGTTGAGCTTGTTTCAAGCACGAGAAGACCGTGAAGATATTTGCATAGTATGTCGGTGAAGGTTAGACATCCAGGTATTAAGATACACCAAAAAGGAGTTACTCAAGCAACTGGATATGATTAGTGGATACGTCTGGCAGTTTCCAAAACCATATCCAGTTGCTTGAGTAGCTGCTTTTTGGCGTATTTGCATTGTAAATAAAACTCGTCTATACTGGGAAATCTCTAGCATACATCCCGGATAACATCATCTGTTCCGCAGCCCAAATTTTGCGCACGACAGCCATGTTACGATGTCTGTTCCCCCTGGCCCTGGCCCTAGTGCTGAAAGTGTAGAGGTGTAGTTTGCATTGTAAACAAAACACGTTTATCCTGGGAAATCTCTAGCATACATCCCTGATATCATGTTCTGTTCCGAAGCCCAAATTTTGCGCACGACAGCCATGTTACGATGTCTGTTCCCCCCTGGCCCTGTCCCTAGTGCTGAAAGTGTGGCTGTGTAGTTTGCATTGTAAACAAAACACGTTTATCCTGGGAAATCTCTAGCATACATCCCTGATAACATCCTCTGTTCCGTAGCCCAAATTTTGCACACGACAGCCGGGTTTACGATGTCTGTTCCCCCTGGCCCTGTCCCTAGTGCTGAAAGTGTGGCTGTGTAGTTTGCATTGTAAACAAAACACGTTTATCCTGGGAAATCTCTAGCATACATCCCTGATAACATCCTCTGTTCCGAAGCCCAAATTTTGCGCACGACAGCCATGTTACGATGTCTGTTCCCCCTGGCCCTGTCCCTAGTGCTGAAAGTGTGGCGGTTGTTGTAAAACAGATGGCTGGCGGTCCCAGGTCTGGTGTTATCAGACTCTAATCTGTCTCGCCGGAGCCATTACCCTTTATCTGCCGTAATTAGATATATGGTGCTGGGAATACCTCTGGCACAGGCTGCACAGGGATCGTCTCATAGTGTCATCACTGTGATGGATCCTTCCCGAACGAATTTTTTCCGTATCGACTAGAGAAAACAGCAAAAATTAGCTGTAAAAACAATACTCTTTTCTAATTATATCTTAGAATGAACGTTGGCATGATTAAAGGCAAGATTAAAAGGGCTCGTTTCATAATATTGAGGAACAATCCAACAAGGTTTCCACTTATCTATACGAAAAAAAGAAGAAAAAGAGCAACAACATCTCTTTCATCAGTTTCCATTTTGTGATTTGCTTTCATAACAAATACTAGAAGCCAACTAATTAACAGCAGCTTTGAACTAAAGTCTTTTCTTTTCTATCTACAAAACACATCACATAGTCTATGAAACTTACAGAATTATACATTTCCAACAGCCTCTGGTGTTCCATCATTGACTTAGGCCGTGTATTTTAGTATCGTTATGAAGAGGACATTTTAGCAATTGAATATATTGAATATGCATCATTGAATAACTCAGTGATGATGTACGGTTATTTTGGGATCATCTTGGAATAATTAAATCAATAAACCAACCCACTGAAACATGTGCCGCCTGATATATCCCGCCTCTTCCCAATCAACCGCAACTCATAATCACATTAATGTGTTTCCATGTAGGTCAAACGTGTCTCAAGTGAATTATACAATTACATGATTACAATTTGGCAGTCTAACCACTGCCCAAACCATTTGTAATTATTATTGCACAGCTTGGATGACGATTCCGGAAGGCAGCAACAAGTGTGTTCCCTGTTTAATGCTATCCGGTTGCTATGCTATGTTTAATGACAGGGAAACAGTGAATATTTGATGCAGAAAGAAAGGGATGGACGACTAATTCTCTAGTGTACTTTTTAAAAGAAAACACATACGTATGTTTTTTTTTTTTAAATATGTATTTTTTTCATCGATTCAATTTTTTATTGAATCTGCTTCCAAACTGTTTCTGTGCTTGATGCAAAAATAGCGGAGTCTTATAATATATATAATATGGTATTTATGTTTACTTAGGCTAGACCATGTGAAGTTATAAACATTGCCCATTTGCTTTGCAAATGTTACAAGTAGTAAAGGTTCTAGATAAGCATTGTTACGATTATATCATTTCAAAATGGCCTGTTTTATTGTCAGATTATTCTTTGCTGATCAATAGCGACTAGAGAGAATACAGAATTTAGTGTTGTTTACAATCAAAGGTACCTTATCTTTTTAAGATCATTTTTCAAATGTTTTTCTGATCATAAGAATGCATAAACCTGATGAATAACTGTAGTACAGAAAGGATGTACGTTTACTAGTACCAGTATTACACCAAGCTCAATGACCCCAGGTTTACTGTTGAAACGTGATGAACAACTATAGTACAGAATAGATGAACATTTACTAGTACAATCCCAGTATTACACTAAGGTCAGTGACCCCCAGGTTTACAGTTGAAACGTGATCTGTCCTCAGGAAGCCGCGGAGGACGGTCGACCTTCACACCGGTCACCTTGGCGCCATAAATAGCAGCAGAAGAATAATAATGGCCGCCCGGAGAATCGAACAGTTCCGCCGTGTCCTGACTCTGCTGTCTTCCCATATCCCGAGACGGGCTTGACGTGATAAATATATATGGACCATCTCTTCCTGAAGGTTAGTGCCAATTATTGGTTAGTCGCGAATTCCTTGTAGGTTATTCAAATTTGTCGTAGGTCATCGATATCGTACGATTTTGATGTAAATTTTTTAGGCAGACTGTGACTGAACAAACCACTGACAAGGATTTAAGACAGCCCTTTCAATAAAACACGAATTCTGTACGATATCTACACGACAATAATTAATTCCCCAAGTTCTTAATCGTACGACAATCGCACAACAAATATCACAGCCCTTTATAGCACTATTATCTGTGGCATCATGGTATTATACAAAGTTGAATCCATCATAGTTTTGGGTGTTGGTTTCTTTGATTTTCCAATGCCCTGACCTGAGGTGAACCTAAGTCTTGTTGTGTGGGTTTTCCCAATACCACCGGGAATACCAGTCCGCATGTGTATCAATCATTAACAGTACATATCGGACCTGCAGTGTGACGCATTAGCAGCTCGCTACACATGCATCACACCGGATGGCTTATCGGGCCTAAGCCCCGCATATCCAGCACCAAGTGCCGTTTGAAACGGCCTGATATGACATGAAAAGATGCCTGCGGCTCTTGGCGTTAATGCGTTTCAATCTGTAGAGGCTATTATGAGAAAGAATCTCTGTTCAATCAGGCTGGTTTGTAATTCTATTCGTCATTTGCATTCCGAGCATTTCTTCTTTACTCCAGTGGTTTGTGAACTGATAACGGTTTGGAGTGCTCCCTGTAGTTGTTGACATAAAATCTGGCTAGGTGGTTCTGACGTTCCC